GTGGTCCTAACCTGTTGAATGGTGTCGTGATCACAAACACTAGACTGTAAATCAAAATTGGAAAAAAGTCATTTTTTTTTCAGATGAAATCCAAGTTATGTTAGGAACAGACCTTTAAGTTTATGTCTAGAGAAAGGCCGATGAAATTCAAAAATGGAGACGGGGTGCCTTGAATTACGTTCAGTCCGTAATGGTTGAGTCTGCCTAATCTGTTTCGTTTTGGGGCTGTATCTGCTATTCAGGAGTAGGCCTACTTACACCAATAGATTGAAATTTAAACATAGATTACACTTCTAGACAATAATTTGTGGCAAGTTGTTGCCAAAAATTTTAGTAGCAACCCCTGGATATTTCAAGACGATAACTGTCCTGCCCACATGTCAGCTACCTAGGGCTATAGAATGGAAACAACAAAATAATAACCCTTATTTAGAGTGGCCACCTAAATCTCATAGAAAATGTATGGAGATCAAGTAAAATTGAACTTTCAAGGGAGCAAGATAACATCAAAACAAGGCAAGAAATTATTGACTGTGTGCTGCAGATCTGGGGCCTGTTTTACAAAAGAACTTACGACTAAGACCAAAAACTTCAGATGATGGCAAAACTTTGCTCAATTAATAATTTTCTTTGAAATTGTTTGTGTAAAAATATCTTACCCCACTCCTTTTGAGAATTTTAAAATAATTTTTTAAATAAAGTTAATTAAAAAGTTATATGAAGAATTAAATTTGGTCTTAAGTCGTAAGTCCTTTTGTAAAACGGGCCCCTGGACGTCCCTCGCCCCTGTGTATATACAGGGTTTATACGAAACCTTACCAAACAGACTAAATACTGTACATAATTAAAGCTAAAGATCATGCCACTGTCCAAATACTAAAAAAATCAGAAGTCTGTAATCAACAATAGTAAGGTAAGTGGATTTTTTGTAACATTGAATTTTAGTACTGAGCAAGGTTGACATCATGATAACGTGAAACACTTATGGCACCACACTGTATGTTTAGGCGGCTTACCTTCCGAGATATTATATTATATAAGTAATTATTTGGATTTATTGTATGTTTAACTTCCCTCTCGGGAATTTTTCACTCATGGAGACGCCAACACTTGCCAGTAGAGAGCTACAAATTTTGTTCTATACTCGGTACTTAGGGCCATTAAGCAGTGGGGGATCTTTTTCGTGCCAGCACCTACTGCGACACGGGAACTAGGTTTATACGTCTCATCCAAAGGACCAGTCTCCACGTCCCATAGTGGAATTCGAACCCACGACGTGAGGATTGACTCCTTACTTTGCGACTCTAGAGCAGGTGCTCTAACCACTGCGCCACGCGGATGACAACTTTACTTGGACGACATTCTTTCAAAGTAAATTGTTTCATTGAGTCTGGAAAAAGCAAATGACTGTGGGATTTGAATGCCGAAAAAAGAAAACAATTATTAAACGCAAATAACAAATTAACCACAAAACTGTTGGTTTTGAAGCTAAAGGACAGATGTATGTACGAGGGGTTATCAAAAAGTTCGTGGACTAAGGCTATAACATTAGTACTATGTAGCTAGTCTGATCTTACAAAATTTTTAAGGATTATTAAACAACAAAAATATGAAATATTGAAAATTTTAGCTTGATAAGTTCATTATTTCCCAAATTATAATATAAAATAAAAACGACATTATATCATCAACCGTCGCCGTTTAGTTTTATGACGTTCGATACATGTAACGCCATTTTTTTTCAGTGTCTGCTTCTTCTACTTCATAGACTTATTTTGATGAGATTCCCGGAAGCTGAGTAAGGACTTCAATCTCTCTTGTTTATAAGACTTTACAATGTCATGAACAGCGGCTTTCATTGCATATACTATTGCAATTGGATTTATACAATGGGAGATCTTCGCTTTATTGTGCCAGCATATTTCGCTTTTTGGAGTTCAAAATCTACAACACATGATCAACGTCATTTTTTGACGTGATTAACTTTTCACATCTTGACTACAAATCGATATTTACTATGCATTCCTTTTCTTTCTAAATCTATTTTGGCGTTAGGAAACAAGTACTCTGGATGCATATTATTTCTCCCTAGCCAGTTTAAACATTTCGAGGTCTATACCATTTTTTTCAGGGGAAAAACTTTATAGAATGTTGGAAAAGGAAACCCCTCCACCCTTTTGACGTCATTTTCAAGCAATGTTTGTTTGGATACTCCATGTAAAATTTACCATAACATTTGATGGAACTTCCAGAATGAGGTAAAAATTCCACAATAGTGTCGCAACACATACCTGAATAAAAGCATTTTTGGATGTCAAATGTTCATATCAACATAAGTTTTTCTGTTCCACTTAAGTCGGAAAAAAACGTCGTTTTCGAGGTTGCGCCGCCTGCATGGACATACCATTGCTTACAAAAACATTACTAATTTATGAAAAAATAAAATTTATGATGTTGTTTAGTCTTTTGATAGAAAAGAGGATGCTTATTAGATATTTTAAAATTCATTGATATACCTATAGCGGTTCTAATTTTATGGCGCTAGTACACGAACTTTTTGATACCCCCTCGTACATGAAATATTCAGTCAATATATGTTATTAAAAAATTACGTTATATCGGTTAATTTGGTGTTAAGGGAGATGTAAACATTTATTTGATAAAATTTTTTTTGGAACGTTGTTAAAATAAATTATACATGAAATAAGGCTTTATTAAGTTTACCTAGTTCATTAGGTGAAATATTGCTGACTTGGCGTTAAGCAATCAATCATTTTCATAATACTTTCTTCAGGAAATAAGTTCAAAATTAATTCAATTACTTTATCCCCAGACAATTGCGATATAAAGGGCTTATAACTCTAATTGCAAAAAAACATGTTTAGCGATTACTTAATAAAACTTAAACCCAGTTAAAATTATTGACAAAGTTTTATTTCCTTAAGCTTGTGTTTGTTTGTTTCAAATTGTTTGTTTTCTTTGTTTGTTTGTTTTTTTTTTTTTTTTTTTTTTTTTTGTTTTGTTTAAAACTATATTTGTTTAAGAAAAAGAAAAGAATCGAAAAATTCCATTTATTAAAATAGTTACAAAATTTATGTCTTTTAAAAAAAAAAATTCATAGATCGTCGAAACTAACGTGACATTTCACATACCTTAAATAATAGCTGGTTTTGAAAAAAGAAAGCAAAGACCTTCACGCGACTATCAAAATGAAAGGGAGATATTGAAGGTTTGATTAATCAGATTAAACCTTGCCTTAAATTGCCTTTTTACAGAGTTTCCAACATTTCTTGTACTCCCTCAAAAATAAAGAGGAAAAACATGCTGAAGTGAGTAACCTTTTATTTTCTTTGAATCCAACAATATTTTCACTTCAGATCCGCAGTGTATATACATGTATCAGTGTACATGTAATATAATCACCGATAATGGAGGTACAAATATAGCTAAACTACGTAACCAGTGAAGTACTGTATACTGATGTATACGGATGTATGAAAAAAAAGAAATTAATGTTAAAAAAACAACTGTAATATTTTATAGATCTCCGAAATCATAGAGTTAGGATTTCTGTTCCGTAGGCCGCAGTCGGATATCGTGAATCTAAAACGTAAAAAAAAAAAAACATTTCATAAGTGACAAGATTTCAAGAAAATATTGACTCATTTTGAAGATCAAAGATGCATCAGCTGACAAAATTTGATGGTTCTAAGCCTCTTATTTGAAATTTTTAAGAATGCGTTCATTATTCAAAAAGTAGTTCGTGGTGACCTACTTTTAAGTTGTTGCATCCTGTGAAGGCCAAATCAAACACTTCCTATTAGCAAAATTTGCTAATATAACAAAAAGTAACAAATTTAATATTTGAAATATTAAAATAAATCCATAAATTCCAAAAATAGGTCTCAGTGACCAACGTTTTGGTAACCCCCTCCCCCAGGACCTAAGATACATCAACTGAGAAGTTTGATGATTCTAAGTCAATAAATATCTGCAATATTTAAATTCAGCTATAAATTTAGGTCACTGTGACCTATTTTTGGTTGAAGAAATGCATCAAATGTCCAAGTTCTAGGGTTCAATTTGTCCAAAATTGCCTCCTACATATATGTAAAGAATATGAAATGAATAATAGCAAAATTCTAAAAGTAGGTCATTGTGAGTAGCTTTGTAATAAATGTGTTTTAAGGCCTCAAGGCTTGATGATTCTTAACCTCTGAGTATAATAATGACCTTAAAATATTAGAAAGTTATTAGCCAATGAAATGAAAATGAATAACAGCAAAATTCTAAAATTATGTAGAAGCTATTTCATGATAATAAGTACTAGTGAAAATTTAGAAATTACACGTATCATATATCAGTGGCCTATCACTGTTCCTTGAAAAGTAAGCAACACTGATACATGTAAAACATTTGAAAATAAGATCAATCTGAGGTCAAGAAAAGGATGCAAGTAAAACAATCAATACTGTAGAGTGAAACTATTTACGAGTAACTGCAGAACTCTAACTCTCCGAAAAATATCATTTATACGGACGGGAGAGCTACAGTGCCACCCAATGAAAAATAGTGTTAATTTATTGCGCACAAATAGTGCGCGGTTTCTCGATTCATTTCTCCCTGTTTTTCAAACTGTAATCTTAAATTATTCCTTACTGTGTGTTTCTAACTTGTAATTGCTATTTTCACAAGAAAACTTTCCTTATAATCGTTGTAAATAGTCCTTTTATGTGCCTGAAAATTGAGATCATCGAAAATCTGCCCATGGTTTACATTTCCATTTCGGATGGCAATATAATTCGGTCCGACGCGCTTCGTGCAGATATCAAAATGAGAGTGCTTGATAGAGCTCAAGGGAACATTTTTAAATCGAGCTTTTGTACAGTTGGGGTAAGAATTAGGAGAACTTATTCCAATTTCGAGCGCAACTTAATTTTTTTTTTCTTCTATGGGTGTCACTGTAGCTCTCTGGTCATCCATCCTAGTTTTTTTTTCAGAGAAACGAACTACAAATCTACAGCTCATTTTCTAGCAATAGTATATAGACCAAGCATATTATATATTTAAATTGGGTGATATTGGGTTTCTTTTTGTAACCGTCTTTTTTTAATCAGTGAATGTGGTCTCTTAGTCTATCACTTTAACAAAAACAAAAACATGCAATTTTAAAATTATGTGTTTCAAGTAAAATATGGAAATGACGATTAGTTTTCAAGCTAAAAGTCCATTTCAACAGAGCAGAGCAAATAGGGACCTAAAAACATAAGACTTGGGATCAGGTGCCATGGAGGAGTAAGCAGCTATCAACCGCCGCCGAATACAGAAAAGGGAAAACTTACTTGTACATGTGGTGGTGCACTCAGTGCATATACAACTGCGTCTGCTATGTCATCAGCCTCCAAACACTAAAAAGTAAGTACCGGGTATATGTTATACTTCATTGCTAAGCAACTTAATCATTTTCTTGATTTTATACAAGTATTTTTTTGATATTTTTGACATATGTTAACTTAAGGATCAGATGTGCCAAACAAATGGAGGTAAACACAAGTTTAGAAAACTGGATAAGCAATTTTTTTCCTAAGAACTGGAAAATGAAATAGACTTGTAAAATATTACTAATACTAAAAAAAAACAAATATTGAAAATCACACTCATTAAAGGTTTACAGGTGTAAATTTCCAATATGGCTTGGTGTAAAAAATGTAATATAAACTTTAGAAATATATACCGAGCCAGGTGAATTTTATTAGGAAAAGCAAAATGGTATAAATCACCCTTATTATATGGGCTAATTTTGACCTTTTTGCTTTTCCTCATAAAACTCACCTGGCTTGGTGTATTTTTCTAAAGTTTATATTACACTTTTAGCACCAAGTTAACATATTCTGAAATTTATTCTCATCTGTAAACCTTTACTGAATGTGTTTTATCTATTTTTATAATTTTATTGAAATGCTACTAATATTTTCCAAGTATTTTTCATTCCAATTGTAGGAGAAAAAATTCAGAATTATCCACTTTTGTAAACTTGTGAAAAATTAAGTCTCCTGTAAAATTTGTTTGTAAATCAAAAAATTGTAAGAAACAGGAAGTAAAAAAAAATAAGGTTTTGGCCATCTTCAAAATGACGAAAACATTATCGCGGTACATAGCAGATAAATATTTTTCCTCAATCAATTTAGTTCAACTTTCAAAATTTTAAGAAAAAACAAACCTTTGATAAAGTAAATCTTTGAACAAGAAAAAAAAATTGAAATGCCCCTGACCTTGAGGTGACTGAAAATAGCTTGTGCCTTCTCTTCACTTTTGTGCATTCTTTGGTGGAATTCCGTGGCTACTAAACCAGGACTTACAGACTGTTAAGGTTAAAAATACATTAATTAATTAATTAATTAGATACCTGATACTCTGCATAAATTTTCTCTCCTTCCTCTCTACTTTTTGTTCGTCTAATTTCAAACTCCGTTTTCACCATTCCAGGACTGACCGCCTGTACATGAGTGTAAATTCACATTTAAATGTGTATATAATTATGTATATTCTCAGCTATAATACATGTACAATAGAGGGAACGTTCTGTCAGCACAGCCCCCCCCCCCTTTCAACCTCCTTTCAAATTCTTAACAAATTTTACAAAGAGGAACCGGAAAATCTTAAAACAAAATTACTTTTTTCAAGTTCTTTGAGATCAAAACAATATCAAAGCACAAAGTTTTATAAAAATCTATTTAATTTTGATTAACAAAATGGAGTTTTGATATAAGATTCACTCGAAAAAAAGTTTTACTTGTTGCTTTTAAAATAAGATATTAGATTAAGAAAAACTAGTAATTATTAGTAATCCATTTAGTCAGAATAGCAAGTAGATGACTATCATTGTTAGTAATTTTAAACATAATTAGTAATAAAGATGAATTCATTTACTCATGAAATGATTTATTAAGTATCAATACTTAATAGGAATTGTATTACTTAGTAAATGAACTACTCATTTTTAGTAGTCATTATTACTTAATTTAGAGATAATATGCTTTCTGTTTACTAATTAAGTAAATTGACTAAGTAAGTGTAATTCTGAAATTAATTAAAATCTAGAATTTCATTACTTAGGAGAATACTAAGTAAATGAAATACTTATCATATTTACTAAAATCAACATTATTTCTTTGTAATTGTTTTATTACATTTAGCAATAAAACATTTAATTCCAACATCAAAAGCCTTCTAAATTGAATAATTTGTATATTTTTAAGGACCATTTTAAAAATGGTTTAAAGTTTCAAGTACTTAATACAGCATTTTAATTACTATAACTTTTTTTTTTTTACATGAAGGAATATTTAGAAGAAAGATAACTCCTCCTCACAGACAATTAATATGAAAATTTAAGAATTCAATCCTGATAGTAATTAGACCACCATTTTTAAGTAATTATTTGTATTGCAACTGCTCTGAATTCTCCTTGATTCAGTAAATAAATTATAGTTTTAAGTAAATCAATTGTATACAATTTAAACAAGATGTGTTTGTGAAACACTAATGCCCCCCATATGGCAACATAGCAAAGGTTTAACTTTTCTTATATGCAAATTCAATATATTGGTATTTCTTTATATCTCAAAGGTCAAGGTCAAATGATCAATGTTATTGGTATCTAATGAAAGGTCCTGCCACAAAAAATACATATCTGAAATATGAAAGCACTAGCCCCAACCCTTCAGAAGTTATGGTCAAGTTTACCAACTTTGAAATGTAGATCAAACTCCAAGGTCAAGGACAAAGGGTCAGATTTGGTGGTACCCAAAGAAAGGTCTTGTCACAAGGATGAAATATGTGAAGTATGAATGCACTAACCCCAACCTTTGTAAAGTTAAAGTCAAAGTTTGCTTTTTAAAAGTGGGTCAAACTCCAAGGTCAATGTCAAAGGGTCAAAGTTCTTGGTATCTAATGAATGGTCTTCTCACAGGAATTATGAACACATTATTTTATTCACATATATGTAAGTATGAAAGCCCTATCCCTTATCGTTCAAAAGTAATGGCCAAGGTTAAAGTTTTTTCACAAGGATTGAAATCTCCAAGGTCAAGGTCAAATGGTCATGGTTGTTGGTATCCAATGAAAGGTCTTTCAACAAAGAGTATATATGTGAAGTATTAATGTCCTGGTATTCACTGTTAAAAAGATATGGCTAAAGAAAAAGTTTGGAATTTGTAAAGTGGGTCAAACTCCAAGGTCAAGGTCAAATTTGGCGATACTCAAAGATAGGTCTTGTCAAAAGGAATGGACATGTGAAATATGCAAGTCATACATGTAGCTCTGCTAAATCAAAAGTTATGGGCAAGGTTAAAGTTTTTGTGGACAAACAGAGAAACAGACAGACAGAGAGACAGACAGATGGACACGACAAAAACTATATACCCCCGAAACTTCGTTTACGGGGGCAAAAAAAATATTAGTTATATATAGAATTTAAAATTAAATTCTGATGTCTTTATTTTTTTATAATAGTACTAGACAGTGTATATATAGTAATTAGACTACCAGATTTAAGTAAATTGTTCTGCAGCTGCTCTGAATCCTCCTTGATGCAGTAAATAATTTATTGTTTTAAGTAAAACAATTAAATATAGCAATTTAAAAATATTTCAGTAATAGCTAGTAATTAGTGGTAAACTGTAAGTAAAAACCAAGTAATATGTTATTACTTACATACACAAATTTAAGTAAATATGAATTACTAAGTAAAACTTTTTTTAGAGTGAAATTGGTTTCACTTAATTATACTGTTGCACTTGAACACATCTAGAAATATTCCAGAAATTTTTTTGAAATTGTATGCTCATTTCTTGAATTGATGGGAGGGGAGAGGATGCAGAAAGATTATGAATACATTATTTTATTCACAAAAGGTAAATGGGATTGGGCAGCAGTCAACGCCTATTTTAGCCCTATAATTGAGTGCACAACGCAAACTTTTCTTATCATATTCTTACATGTACATTATTGTGATAAATTAGATTTTTTCACCGTAACACGTATGTGGGTTCCCAGTTGAACGAGTTCGTTCCTTATTCCTTCCAATAATGCAGATACAGCATATTTTGAAACCGAATAAAAATGTCCACCGGGATTTAGAACCACACGATGTCCAGACATACTGTAAAAGAAACATCATTCGAACACTTGTAAGAAAAAAATGTTTACTTTTTTCCGTGAGTGAAGAAGAAGAATGAAACCTATGGTTTCAGTGGTGTGTCAATTAGGTATACTGATAACAAAATTATTTTCAAAGTGCAAATTTTTGCAGGGCACATCCTAAGGACGCTAAATTAGTGATGCTTTAAAGCACGAGTAGAATTTAAAGGCTATAATAGATATACGCGAATATCAATATTCATGTCTTCCTTTAGGTTCACTTTTACATCTTACCTGTTGATAAGAAAAATATGACCATCGTCTACTTTATTTTTCTTCATCTGTTGAAAAGCTTCTCTGGTACAAATACAAGGGCCTAAAACATTCACCTATTAAAAATACATGTATATGTTGTAATATTATCTTAGTAGTCAGGAATTGTGCTTAACTTGCACATTTCATCTATATATCCTAATCATTTCCTCATATATCCTTAATAAAGAAAAATAAATTACCACCCCTCATCCCCTAAACACGATCGAATTTCCCATTTAAAAAAATCATATTAAGAAATTTCGACATGATCGAGATACATGTAGATTTCGAAATCTAAAGATAGAAAGATTTCGGTAATATTCGGTGACAAAGAATGGAAGCTTAAAAAATAATATATTGTACGGTACCATAAATTTCTCCATAGAATAGACACAAAACTCATAAAACTGATATATCAATATGTCTCTTAATAACGTACATCCAGCATATTCCGCCAATCTGCCGTACTACCAGACAGGAGGGGTGCGTTATGAGCTAATCCAGCGTTGTTAATACAAACATCCACACCCCCTAATTCGTTCTGGATCCGCCCAAACATGGTGAGAATCTCCTCTTCTTTCGTTAGATCACATTTCACTGGAATAAGTTGTCCCTTTTCTGATTTTAACTCGTTTTTTATTACCTGGAAATTTAAAAAAAGAATACCGCACACAATGCTACATCTTTGAAACCGTCATATCCCTTTTAACTTAATATATTTTTTCTACTTTGTATGTCCTTTCCCCATCTCATTTCATCCCAGATTGAATTTTTGCCTCCCGGCTTTGTTGTTGTGTACTTTTGCTTCCATTGTAAATCATGGGGAATAGAGGTGTCACATTTCAATGCCCGTTCATATAATTGTATTGTTAAAATTATGTATATAAGGGATGTCAAATCGTTGAATATTTGACAATCGGTTTTACTCGGACGATTTTCCGATCGAGTACCCGAGTACTCGATAAAATTGTAAAATACAGTGTGTAAGTATGTAAATTTTTATTGAGACTATAGGTAAGCCCAGATTAACCCCCATCATTAATTGATATTTTTTCACGTTTTCATGCAAGTAACATCATCGAGCCAAACGAAATTTATTTCTTGTCCTAACTTTATTTATAACAAAAATTAATCGACTAATCAATTAAAATACAACAATAAATACAAATGGTTAATTTTCAGCTTTAATAAAGGGGAGGGGGCAATCTGTAATGCAGCTTTGTATTGGTTAGAAAAGCGAAAGAGGATATCTTTGAAGAAACACAACTTCTCAGGATCGGTAGACTTGAACACAGTTCAGATACACATTTTCAAATTTATTTTTCCATTTTTATGTTTATAAACTCTTAACTAAAGTATTTTTAATAATTATCAAAATTTTGAATTTTAGCTGTCGATATACAGAATTAGAGCTCCAAACCTTTGTTATGTAAACAAGGCCCGTGCCATAATTGTATTTTCAATGGTGAAATATACTAAAACATGATCGTTCCAAGCAGATTTTTAAAATAAAAAAGTTAATTCTAAATACCATTATACAGTTTCTGGCGATTTGCTGAATCTCGATTGGTTATAAATATGATATTTTCTAGATGTGAACAAAAAGCAAGGCTCGAGCTTTGCCTACATTACGAAGAATTTTAAGTTCTGTATCTCCTTTGTAAATCAACAAAATAATTATGTTCAAATTTTTGCTGATCATCTTCAGTTGCCTTAATTAGGAACTGTAAACATTAGATTAATGGACAGGCCTTAAGATCACTTAGAAAAAAAGTTGATGTGTAGAACCGATCCAAAGGCCTGTAGATTAATGTATAAACTACATGTGGAGGTACTGTGAGCAATGAGCTCACTGAATGATACACCCGCCTCCCATATGAAAATATTGACAGTGTCCATGTTTTGCTGTGGGGAATTTTCCTCTCTTTATTGTTTTACGGTAACGTGAAAAGGGGAATTACTCGTGGTGTCCCAGAAGCCGCCACACTAATAGCAGTGTCAAGTTTTTCTATGGAAAACCCAAAATATGTGTCGGATCAAAAAGTGAAATAGCAGGTGCAGAATGACATTATGTAATAGAGATTCTCTGAGAGTCTCATCAAATTTCATTCAGTGGTATGAAAGGAGTTTCGGATAAGAGACGGGTACCCCAAAGCTTCAGACGGACGTACAGCTAGACAGACGGACGGACGGACGTACGGACAGACGGACATACCGATTACTAAATACCCTCCCGCTTTTTAAGCGGGGGTATATATAAAAATACACATACGAGTAACCGAGTTTGTGATTTTAGTATTCAATACTCGGACGTTCGATCGAGTACCCGGTTAACCGGGTACTTGCTGACATCCCAAGTCAAAAAATATATTACACATGCTATAGTAACCGAGTAGCGTTTTGTATCCGATACTCGGACGTTCGAGTTAACCGGATTCTCGTTGACATCCATAATCTCTCTCCCTCTATCAGAGAGAGAGAGAGAGAGAGAGAGAGAGAGAGAGAGAGAGAGAGAGAGAGAGAGAGAGAGAGAGAGAGAGAGAGAGAGAGAGAGAGAGAGAGAGAGAGAGAGAGAGAGAGAGAGAGAGAGAGAGAGAGAGAGAGTGGAGAGAGACGGTCAGAGAGAGAGAGATCCGTTATCTTAATTCATTTTTCACTGCATTTACTTAGTCCCTGTCTGAATTTAGTAATAGTACATAGTCAGGGATTTAAAGAGTCCCTATAAAAAGTTTAAACCAACGAATCTTTTAAAAGAAACTAGTAATCGAATAAAAGATCGGGTGTTTTGAAAAGAAGCGGTTAAATGGTCCGGTATGTAAAAAACTATATATATATATTGATTTCTCAGAAGACAGGCGCTTCTGGGGTTTTCCAAATCTTTGATTCTTAGAATTTTCATTGATAATCATGACGACAAGAAAACATATTTTTTTTATTGATCTTCAAAATATCTAATTAAAAAATGCATGAGCGCCCGCGCCCCTTCTAATATATCAAACCTAAAATAAATCATGGTTAAAATCTTAGAATTTATGAGCTTCTAGGGGTCTCACTCCCAAGCCTGGTCCCCTTGGGCGTCCATGCAGGCGACCATGCATAAGACCCCTACTTAAACACACATCCCACTTCTCCAGCCTGAGTCGTTAAATATTGGAGCCACTCTTTTATTATACCCCCCGCTTGAAAAGTGGGAGGGTATATAGTGATCGGGATTTCCGTCCGTCCGTCCGTCTGTCCGTCCGTCTGTACGTCCGTCCGTCCGTCCGTCCTTCCGTCTGTTACGCTTTTTCTCTTATCCGCAACTCCTCTTATACTACTGAGTGAAATTTAATGAAACTTTCACAGAATCTTTATTACATATTGCCATTGTGCACCTCCTATTTTACTTTTTTATTCGACACGTATTTTAGGTTTCCCAGAGCAAAACATGGACATTGCCATTTTTTGTTTACCTATGACGTCACATAATAGAAGCTTCTGGATAACATTTCATATGACGAGTTATTCCTCTTTACACATTACCGTAAAACAATATAAAGCAACACATCGACATTATGGGAGGCGGGGGGGTATCATTTAGTGAGCTCATTGCTCACAGTACCTCTAGTTTATTATTTGCTTGCTTCACGAGTTCAATTTTTTCCCCTAATAATACATGATGTATTTGCTATATGCTTTTGTAAGTCCTATACACATACAGTGTACATAATAAAACACTTTGACACCTACCTATAGATATGATTTATATTCTTTACACTAACCTCAATTTGTTGGACGTTTCTAGCACAGCCAACTACTTTCATTCCATGCTTAACGAGAGCTCGTGTAATTGCGGCCCCTATCCCAACCGAAGCTCCGGTCACCAGCGCTACCCGACCAACCCAACGTTCCATATTCTGTGTATCTGTTTAGTTTGTAGTAACTCTTCAGTCGTTATCATCTACCCTGGTCTAGCGAGCGAGTGTTTATGTTTACGCTGCCTCATGATCTAACGACCTAGATTCTATTGGAGCGGATCCAAAATTACCTTAAATTGGTAAAACCGTTTCTTTCCTTTGTCTCATATTCGCTATAAAACGATTCTGTTTTTTATGCGCCTGGATCGAAAGATCCGAGGCGTATATTGTTTTTGTCCTGTCTTCTGTCTGTCTGTTTGTCTGTTTATCTGTCGGTTTGTCTGCAAACTTTAACCTTCGACATAACTTTTGAACCATAAATGGTTGAGACTTCATATTTGGTATGCATACTCCACTAATTAAGCTCTTTCAAATGACACCAAGGTCAATGACCTTGTGACCTTGACTGTGACCTATATGCTAAAAATAACTTTTTTCTGCAAACTTTAACCTTCGCTATAACTTTTGAACCATAAATGGTTGAGACTTCATATTTGGTATGCATACTCCACTAATTAAGCTCTTTCAAATGACTCCAAGATCAGTGACCTTGTGACCTTGACTGTGTCCTATATGCTAAAATTAGATTTTTTGAACATTCACCATAACTTTTGAACAATGAAAGATAGAGACTTCATATTTGGTATGCATACTCAACTAATAAAGTTCTTTCAAATGACACCAAGATCAATGACCTTGTGACCTTGACTGACCTATATGCTAAAATAGTTTTTTTTTTAACTTTGTTGCCGCCGGGCGCATAGTGTTTCACAAACACATCTTGTTTTTTTTAATTCTTTCAACATTTTTTTGTAAATTTTGTTTCATTAAAGTTGGATTCCTGTCTTTTTTATGACTAATGAAATATTCAAAATGTATTTGCTTAGTGTATGACTTATGATATTATAAGGTATTTTTCTTGCCTCCTTATAATTATACAATCGAATGTTAAATAAAAATGGTAAAATAAATTTGAAATTTAGGAGAGAATTTAATTTTGGCGGATCGGTGGTGTGTCAGTAAAAATATCTCAATTTCTTTACTTCTCATACTACCAAAAAATGAAATTAGTCGCTTTTTTTAAACAATCGAAGACCTAAAAAAAAATTGACTAAAATTAAAAATAATTAAAATATATCAAATAAAATATAATTTTCCAAGCAAACTAAAATCTTGTTAGCTTTTGAAAGCTACATGTTCCATTTTCGTACAGATTTGAGTTAAAATTAACAAAATGTATTTGCACTTGAAACCGTTTACCGGAGGGTCAGTGCTAGTGCAGCGGCATTGTGACGTCACAATCAATACCCCAAGAACTAACGTTCAAAACATGGACCCACTCCACCCCCTCTCAATGAGAGAGTATATATATTATATTAAATATATCTCAACAATTCAGTTGATGTGTTTATCAATAGAATGGGATCACTTTTTAAATGATTTATTTTTTAAGATTCAATAAAGTTTTTTTTGTGCTCATCAAGAGTACATTTTGCCTTATAATTGAATTTATGCGCGCGCACCAATTAAAAAAATAGTTGCTCACTGGCGGAATTTTAGGGGGGCAGTGGGACCATACTTCTTGTGACCGCAAAACAAGTACAAAGGATTTTTATTCGACGTTGCTATGGGATGTTGCATTAGTTAAAGGTGAAGTAAAGAAAAAAAAGAAGACCATCTGTTCCATTTACCTAGGGCTTCTGGGCATAAATTGAATTAATGCGTTTAATTCAACATTGAAGATACTTTGTGATCCGACTCTTAAATTGAAATGAATTCATGATATTTTCGAATGAATCAAAATATGAAAGATATCTTTAACAAGCGGTAAGAAAGCGGTGGAGTTGGGGGTTACCAAAATTTTTTGCTATTGAAAATATTCATTGGAAACCCCTTAGCTCCTTTTATTGCGATATACATGTAGTGAAATTATGGTAATGGAGTAGCGTATAAATAAAATTAAATATTGAACGAATATTGAAACCTATCACCGTACCCAACCCCATCCCCACAAAAATATAAGTAGGATTTCGAGTTTGAAGACTTTTTTAAATAGAGATTTCCTTTTTTCTTTGCGTGCATGTTTTTTTTTTAATATTTAATTTTTTTTCATCATTTTAACTTACACAGTCAGGAGGATTTGTAGAAAAGATGTATATTAATAATTTATTAAGTGTTAAAAAAAAATAAGATGTATTTGTGAAACACTGATGTCCCCGCATGGCAACATAGCGAAGATAAAACTGTTCTTAAATGCAAATTAAATATGTTCGTACCCAAAGTAAGGTCTTCCCACAAGCTAGAAAAACAATTGTGAAATATAATAGACCTAGCAACTCATGTTCAAAAGTTATGGCCAAGGTTAAATTTTTCAAACTTAAGGTAGGTCAAACTTCAGGGTCAAGGTCAAAGAGTCAAAGTTCCACTTGTTGGTTTCTAAAGAGAGGTCTTGTCATTAGGATTATAAATGTGAAGTATGAAAGCCCTGGCCCTAACCGTTCAAAAGTTATGGCCAATGTTAAAGTTTTTAAAAAGGAGATCAAACTCCAGGGTCAAAGATTCAACGTTTTCCAATCCAATGATAAAGTCACGTCACAAGGATTAAATATATGAAATATGAAAGCCTTAGATCTAACCCTTCAAAAGTTATGGCCAGGGTTTGTTTTTAAAAGTAAGTCAAACTTCAAGGTCAGGGTCAAAGGATCACGTTTTTTGGTATCCAATGAGAGGTCTTCTCACAATGATTACAATTGTGAAGTATGAAAGCCCTAGCCATTATCATTCAAAAGTTATGGCCAAGGTTAAAGTTTTCTTGAAGTACTCAAGTTTCTAAAGTCAAGGCCAAAAGGTCAAAGTCGTTGGTATCTATATTAAAGGTCTCGTAACAAAGAATTAATACATATGTGAAGTATGAAAGTCCTGGTATCTACCATTCAAAAGTTATGGCCTAAGTAAAAGTTTTTGTGTAAAAGTGTCAGAGCGTGTCAAACTCCAAGGTCAAGGTCAAAAGGTCAACTTTGGTGATACCCAAAGAAAGATCTTATAATAAGAAATACACATGTGAAAAATATGAAAGTCATAACTCCACAAAATCAAATGTTATGGGCAAGGTTAATTTTTTTTGCGGACAGATAGACAGACCGTTAGACAGACGGACGGACACGACAAAAATTACATGTATATACCCTGAATCTTCGATTACGGGGATACAATTTAAAAAAGATATCTGATATGCCTACCAGAAATACTTTGTAGGTTACATGGTGTATGGAGGATAACTCTTGTTAGCTTAAAAGAATTTTTGAGTTTGTGTGTATATTATCTTAGAGATATCATATAGGGTTACATATGAGAGTTTGTACACGGAATGAGTATGGTTCCGAGATTTTATTGGTAAAATTGTACAAAGAACAAGGCAGTGAGAGACTCAGAGAGGGGTGGGGAGAAATATGGAATCTAGAATTTCTATTTTAAAATTATTTATTAATTATTATAATTTCCTTTTCTGCGATTTCATGTGCTCCTTAGTTTTATCACTGTATTAAATAAAATTTAATTAGTTTTCATGGCTTTTTAAAAATATATTGATTTGAAGACATCGTCTCTTTTGTGGTTGTTCGTAACAGGGTTTAAAAGTATTTTGTCGCTTCTTGTTGTCAAGAACAACCTAACTACAAACTAGTTCGAAATGCTACGCGCAAACAATAGTGCAACAATTGTAGAAATGAAATTCCTAAATTTTTCCTAATTATTTGATAAAATGTATGACGAACGATAAAATTTCATCTTATTATTTAAAAAAAATAATGTTTTGCAACAGTTATTCAGTGAAAGCATTCTAATAAATAAACCGGAAGTGAAAGGCGCATGAATACCAATTGTATTTCGAGAGGAACATCATGGGCATGGAGTGCGAAAAGTTGAATATATTTTAGTTAAACCTTCTATTCTCGTTATTGTCAGTCGGAAATTTACATTCACTCCAAAATGCCGACTCAAGTGAAGCTTGCACAGATGGTCGATCTGGCCCTTGGGACTCCAGAAGTCGGTGCTGTTAATTTTAATGTTTTACACAGTCTTTTACATGCTATGCTGAAAAAGTTGAACATCTTGGATGTTCAAGCAGAAATTAATGAATTTGATCGCGACTTCCTGTCATCCTCAAAACAAAGGCAGATTTCAAGTTTGAGTGATATAGATAGTGGTAGAGGTGAAGATTCTGAGGATGCTTTGAGTGAAAAGTCAACATCAATTAAAAGTCGGAATAAATCTCCTTATCATCATTTGGAAGTCAAAGTTGCAAAAATGTCCGAACAGTTGGAGAAGTATGGAAACGAACTACCAACTTACAAAGAGCTATTTGAAAGGGGTAATATGGATCCATCTTTAAATACTCCAGTAGCTGATGTCTGGAAATATATTAAAATCCAGAAAAAAGTGGATGCTAATTCAGATGGGTTGGATGAGGTAAGGCCGCAAAACAATGAGTTTCCAGTCAGCAATTTTGCTGAATAATAAAACATTTCATTCCTCCTAATAAATGATCACATCCTTATATGTTAATTGTAGCTGTCAAATAAAGCAACTGTGACAAATACAACTATATATATATAGCTTATTCTCTTTAGAGAAATGTACAGGCTTTTGTCTATGGACTATAGATGTAGGTAAAAGTCTGTCCACTTCACTAAAAAGAATAAAATATAACTATGAAATTGTATATTATTCAAAACTTACAGAAAAGTACATTATGCTTATTGTTACTGAAAAAAGAAACAAATCAACTATATAAAGAAAGGAAAAGAAAAACACTGAATAGATGGGGATCTGAATTCTCTAGTGTTCAAACAGAAATAGCACTCTTTAAGATACAATTATTATCTATATAGTATAATACTTATAATAAGGTATACACGTACACCTAGCTTGTATGTATGTTAGCATGCAATCATACTCCAATTTCTTGGTGTCCTCAGTATCAATAGTCATAATGATGAATAACATGCAGAAAAGAAAAAGAAATATATGACCATGCAAGATGTGTGATAAAATTTTTTTTCTAAATTTTCTACCTCAAAGAATTAATTTAACTCATTTTTGATATGAAACTGCATGTATTGATAATAAAATTTATGTAATATCATGTACATATAAAGAGAAAAAAATGTTTTTCTGTTCATTTCAGTTACACAACCTTGTTGATGGCTTAATGAAGAACATAAAGAAACTGGAACAGGAAAACAAAAGATTGAATGACAAAGTCAGCGGGGTATGTAAAATGTAAAGATGTACAAATATAATTACTGTTGCATATGTTAACTGCTGACAGATACTGATAATAATATAACTCATGAAATTCTACCTTATAGAATCATTAACTCTACCAATTTTAAGCTGAAAAGATTTTTGCATGAACTTACAAATATAACCAGTCTATACAGAAAGATACATAAATGTACAGTATTTGCTAGAAAAATTACGTTCTCTTACATAAATTATGATGTTCTGAAAATTGGTAGTCTAATATAATTTATCGTAAGGGAATGTGTATATGGAATCTTTTGGATATTTCAGAGTGATAATTGATACTTGCAATATTAAGCAGTAATAATTTTTCAGACTGGAATTCTCTCAAATTCTCTGAAGTATCCCATTCCATTTTTTTTTCTTTGAGCATCAGTTTTCATATCATCTGAAGCCATGTGAATCATATATATGTACATTTTTATACAGTCCAAAAATATACATGTAGTAATTAAACATGTTAAAAAAAGAAGATAGATGATAGATTAAAAATCTCACATTTTGGGAAAAAAGTCTATTAAAAGATATATAGTAAGATCATTGTAAAATCAATCAACACACCATTAATTTCAATGATTCAAAATCAAGAAGCTATTTGACCTACAGTACAGATCAAAGGCTAAAACAGATTTAAATCCAAATTTTTAAAAGTACATGTACACATTAAACTGGTTCTAATGTTTCCACCAAACAAAAGCCCACAAGGTTAATCCAAAACTTTTAGCCTGTATTATTTACCTTATGTAAATATAATTCAAAAATTCAATTTTGAAAAAAAAGAACCTTAAAGTCTGGAGAGTTTTAAAAAGTAAATGATATTTCAAGTCACAATCTTTTGGACTTGATTATTACATTAATTTCCTTGTAGTGTACCTTTTTATTTAATGGCATATCATAATAAATTACTTGGTATCTAATATTAGTGAATTTTAAAAATCTTTTTAATGTGTTTCAGTTGAATATTGATGACCTCTTGAAAAGACTGGCTGATTTAGAAAAGAAAACGGTAAGTAAATTGAAATTTAAAAAAGTAACGTTACCATAATGACTTAAATTTGATCTTATTGTTGTCCTAAACACTTCCATGGCAACTTGAGGACATGCACAGTGTACAATTACATCTACAGGTACTTAACATTGTACCTTTCCCACTCGTAATTTTCACAGATACATTTATTCTTAACTTATCTCTACCTTAAAATCAAAGTACCGTCAGATGTTCCTAGCCAATAAATCAGAATTTTGATACATCATCAGGTGTTTCAAACACATATCAATTAAATGATGAAAATCTTTGCATTTTTTAGTACAAAAATTCATGAAATATATATATATTTTTTCCCCCTGGTATTTCCTATCAACTTGATTCAGAGGGGAGCATTACCAGGCAATTTTTGATTTAATTTTTTGATTCATGTTATACTGTACTTTAATTGGCCTACATCGATCTAATATAAATATATTTCTTTTTGATCACTTTTTGCAGGATGAGTTAAACGAGAAATTTTCCCTGCTCCCCACCCCCGAGGAGTTGGCCCAGTACGTGACCTGGCCCTCCTTAGAGGATGCTCTTTTGGGGATCAAAAGAGACTGGGAGAACATGCAGCCTCAGGAACGGGTGGTCGTAGAGATATCCGCACAAACAGACCCTGTAAGTATCGGATTTTCCTCCTGCCCGTATTGACAGATAGATAAAACTGTTGTAAGCAAGAGTTGTTTTTTTTGTGTTTTGGTTGCGAGAAATCTGAAGAAGGCATTAAACGGATTATAAAATGAGGTTACCATAAATATTTGATCACTCAAAGGGAGAAAGAATTTTATGATCGAGTTTTGGGTCAGGTGATTTAAATAAGCAAACAAAAAAGTTATCTGTTAGGGAAAATTAATTAATATTTAATATTTACATGGATAAGTAGGTAAAATATAGATAATATTTCACTACTAATTTCTTAAATGTAGTCTATTCACAGTATTCACAATGCTTGTCAAAGTGTTAAAGCTGATTAGATTTACAATATTGAAATTATAGACAATAGCGTCTGTGTCAGATCAGGTTCTGGTCATTTAAGTATTCATTGTGTATCGGGACTTAGAATAGGAGGGTTCATTAGATAATGGTATCGTGTTACAGGTCTAATGAATGTAGATCAATGCTCCAATCAATATAGACATTCGACTTTGTCGAGGCGGAATATACCCGATAAGATTATACCACTGTCAAATATTTGTCCAGTGTCTGTGTTTGACAACTTCAAGTATCGGAGGAGTTCCCTAGCTAGCTACCCTGCGTCTTCTTCTCGTGTAGTTGAATTGCTTTGATAAAGTTTTCTACCCGTTTTGGACAATGCATCTCTTCTTCTGTTCTTCTGTAAAGAGTTTTTAGATAATCCTTTAAGTGATTTCAAGTATTTATTGTACATAAACTTATCATGAAAACTATTGAAATCTGACGTACAATAGGAATTACTTGTATAATATTATTACATGCATATTTATACATATCTTTTCTGTTTGACTTAAAATCTTTTCTTAATATATTGACAAGTAATTGATAGAAAAAATATTAACTTGCTTATATAATGTGCATAGCATATCACAGTTATTCTTGAGGTTCAGAGAGATCTGACACAAAAATCTGATTTATCACAACCACACAGTTCAATTCCAGACACTCCTCTGCCTTTGAAACTGCATATGATACATCAAAAATATTTTTTGTTTCATTTTATTCCATTTTTGGCTACTATCTCTGCTTTGACAATTCATGACCCCCCCCCTCCCCCAAAGTAAAAATGACAAGGGGGAGGGAATATTAATAATTTCTAATAGCAAAATGACTTCAGTTAAAATCACTAGAACAAATAAAAGTGTTCATGATTGATGAATAGTTGTTTTTTGACTTTAATGTGCTTTTAGTCCTTTAATTTATTTTTCGGCTATTCTTTTCATTACCTCTATTTGAGTATTAAAATCTACCTTAATTGAACAGAAGAATGTTTTTCCTTTTTGTGTTTTTCCCCCTCTTTTTTTATGATAACTATTTTTGTTGTTTTTTTTATTTCAAGAATAGATTAAAGGTTTGTATGATGTGCTCTGTAAAGGCTATAAGCAAATTGTCAATGTATGTTAAATGTCAAGTGTTTTTATGCAGTGCAATGGTGCAATGTCCGTCTCATACGTTGGGTATATTCAGGTACTAGCATTAGGCATGGAAAAAAAAAGTCACAGGTGGTGGTCCATTAGTTTACTCTGTGAAAGGGAGTGAATACTCATACACATTTTATGAATTTGCTTTTACCATGTGAAACATTATTAACTCTTAATTGATAGTCAAAAGCATATTGAAAAGTTTTAAATGTACGTAGTGTGTGAGCTTTACAATGCCACATAAATATTTCATTGCAATAAAGTAGATTTGATGAAAATCTGAAACTTGTGCTATATTTCAAAGAAAATTTAATAGATCAATTATTGACCTTAATAGATATGTACACAGCAAAGGATTTGCATGTCTGCATTTTTAGCTCACCTGAGCTGAAAGCTCAAGTGAGCTTTTCTGATCACCCGGCGTCCGTCGTCCGTCCGTCCGTCCGTCTGTAAACTTTTCACATTTTCAACTTCTTCTCAAGAACCACTGGGCCAATTTTAACCTAACTTGGTACAAAGCATCCTTAGGTGAAGGGGAATTTAAATTGTTAAAATCAAGGGCCAAGACCCCTTCCAAGGGGAGATAATCAAGAAAATACGAAAATAGGGTGGGGTCATTAAAAAATCTTCTTCTCAAGAACCACTGGGCCAGAAAAGCTGAAACTTATGTGGGAGCATCCTGGGGTAGTGTGTAATAAATTGTAAAAATCATGACCCCCGGGGGTAGGGCGGGGCCACAATAGGGAATCCAAGTTTTACATAGAAATATATAGAACAAATCTTTAAAAATCTTCTTCTCAAGAACCACTGGGCCAGGAAAGCTGAAACTTATGTGGAAGCATCCTTGGGTAGTGTAAATATTAAATTGTAAAAATCATGACCCCCGAGGGGTAGGGCGGGGCCACAATAGGGAATCCAAGTTTTACATAGAAATATATAGAACAAATCTTTAAAAATCTTCTTCTCAAGAACCACTGGGCCAGGAAAGCTGAAACTTATGTGGAAGCATCCTTGGGTAGTGTAAATATTAAATTGTAAAAATCATGACCCCCAGGTGTAGGGCGGGGCCACAATAGGGAATCCAAGTTTTACATAGAAATATATAGAACAAATCTTTAAAAATCTTCTTCTCAAGAACCACTGGGCCAGAAAAGCTGAAACTTATGTGGAAGCATCCTTGGGTAGTGTAAATATTAAATTGTAAAAATCATGACCCCCGAGGGGTAGGGCGGGGCCACAATAGGGAATCCAAGTTTTACATAGAAATATACAGAACAAATCTTTAAAAATCTTCTTCTCAAGAACCACTGGGCCAGGAAAGCTGAAACTTATGTGGAAGCATCCTTGGGTAGTGTAGATATTAAATTGTAAAAATCATGACCCCCAGGTGTAGGGCGGGGCCACAATAGGGAATCCAAGTTTTACATAGAAATATATAGAACAAATCTTTACAAATCTTCTTCTCATGAACCACTGGGCCAGGAAAGCTGAAACTTATGTGGAAGCATCCTTGGGTAGTGTAGATATTAAATTGTAAAAATCATGACCCCCGGGGGTAGGGCGGGGCCACAATAGGGAATCCAAGTTTTACATAGAAATATATAGAACAAATCTTTGAAAATCTTCTTCTCAAGAACCACTTGGCCAGGAAAGCTGAAACTTATGTGGAAGCATCCTTGGGTAGTGTAGATATTAAATTGTTAAAATCATGACCCCCAGGGGTAGGGCGTGGCCACAATAGGGAATCCAATTTTTACATAGATATATATAGAACAAATCTTTAAAAATCTTCTTCTCAAGAACCACTGGGCCAGGAAAGCTGAAACTTATGTGGAAGTATCCTTGGGTAGTGTAGATATTAAATTGTTAAAATCATGATCCCCGGGGGTAGGGCGGGGCCACAATAGGGAATCCAAGTTTAACCTAGAAATATATAGAATAAATCTTTAAAAAACTTCTTCTCAAGAACCTCTGGGCCAGGAAAGCTGAAACTTATGTGGGAGCATCCTTAGGTAGTGTAGATATTAAATTGTTAAAATCATGACCCCCGGGGGTAGGGCAGGGCCACAATAGGGAATCCAAATTTTACATAGAAATATACAGAACAAATCTTTTAAAAATCTTCTTCTCAAGAACCACTTGGCCAGGAAAGCTGAAACTTAAGTGGAAGCATCCTTGGGTAGTGTAGATATTAAATTTAAAAAATGACCCCCGGGGGTAGGGCGGGGCCACAATAGGGAATCCAAGTTTTACATAGAAATATATAGAACAAATCTTTACAAATCTTCTTCTCAAGAACCACTGGGTCAGGAAAGCTGAAACTTATGTGGAAGCATCCTTGGGTAGTGTAGATATTAAATTGTTAAAATTATGACCCCCGAGGTTAGGGCGGGGCCACAATAGGGAATCCAAGTTTAACCTAGAAATATATAGAATAAATCTTTGAAAATCTTCTTCTCAAGAACGTTTGGGCCAGGAAAGCTGAAACTTATGTGGGAGCATCCTTTGGTAGTGTAAATATTAAATTGTTAAAATGATGACCCCCAGGGGTAGGGCGTGGCCACAATAGGGAATCCAAGTTTTACATAGACATTTATTGAACAAATCTTTTAAAATCTTCCTTTCAAGAACCAGTAGGCCAGGAAAGCTGAAACTTATGTGGAAGCATCCTTGAGTAGTGTAGATGTTAAATTGTTAAAATCATGACCCTCGGGCGTAGGGCGGGGCCACAATGGGGAATCCAAGTTTTATATAGAAATATATATAGAACAAATCTTTTAAAAAGATCTGCATCACCCAAGTTACTCAGGTGAGCGATGTGGCCCATGGGCCTCTTGTTTTGTACATGTATGTTAATTGCTATTTTACAGTTCATTTTCGTTCCTAGATTTTTAAAACTACATAAATTATAATGATATAAGCATTCCTCTAGGGTACATAGTGAATTTTAAGTGAGAAAATAATTACCTTATAACTAAATAAAAGAAGAAAATTTTGCCGAATAACAGTAACTTTTTGCAACAGACCTCAACTGTCAATCATTTGATCCCAGCTAGCTCAAATGATCGTTTCAAGAAAAAAGGACTATAAAGTCAAATCTAGGTATTTGTAGACAGACTGAATTAGAAAACGAATTATTATCCGTTATCCACAAATACAGTAAAACTCGGTTATAACGAAGTCACTGGGGCCTTACGAAATTACTTCACTGTATACATAATTTGTTATATCCGTATAAGGAATTTGTTAAATTTATATAGCTGGGGATCAAAGACTTCACTTTATCCATGAATTCGCAATATCCGTGTTCATACTAAACAAGTTTTGCTGTAATTTGTGCTTTTTGGACTTTAGTTCTCAGATTCTCGCTTGAAACCAGAATCTCAGCCCCAGTCTCGCCCAGTAAGTATGAGGGCACATATTAATGAGTTTGATGTCTGAGGCCCCTAAACCCCCCTCCCACACAATTCTAGATACTAAAATCATGCAGTTGGAACATTATTTTCTTTAACAAAATCTAACTGGATCTCGAGTCACTACATATTGTATTAAGATAACATAATGAATACCCTTCTTTCCACTTATGAAGAAATAACTTTCTAAACGAATATTTTCCCTTGTAATTACTTTGCAATGTTTAATACATTTCTTTAGGTATTACAAAAAATATTTTATTCCCCTCAGCTTGTAAATTGGAGATTCTAGTGCATATCATTATAATCATATACTATATTATAGTCTGTCCATTTGTATACAAAACTTTTTGAACAGTTGGAACCAGGGCTTTCATATTTTATGTGTTTCATTGTAGCAGACCCTCTTTTGATAGACCAACATTATTTCTTTTACTTCATATGACATTGACCTTGGAGATTTACCTACTTTTGAAAAATTGAACTTTCCTTAACCTTGGACCATATAACATTTAAACAGTTTGTGGTAATAAATGCTTTTATATTTCTCATGGTTACATTCTCTATATTATTTGTGACTAAGCGTATCCTTGGGTACCAAAATTTTTGCCCTCCTGACCTTGACCTACTTGAAAAAAAAACTTTAACCTTCACCATGAACTGTCATATGGGACATCAGTATTTCACAAATACATTCCTGTTTTTGTTGTTTTAATGTTTAAATTAACTTTTTTCATGTTGTCCGTTGCTTGCAAGCTAGTAATGTAACATTTGTTTACGTGTCCACTTGTTTGTCATGCGGTGTTAAGTAAATCTTGAATTCAATTAATCAGATGCAATTATTTGTCTGTTTTACGTTTAGAATATGGAGAACACATAGATTCAATAACTTTGCATTTCAGTAGAAAAAAAAAATAACATGTGCAAATACTTTTAAACTTAAATCACATTTGAAAAAAAAAAATTAATACATGTACTTTTCATTTTCTTCACTTTCTTCTTAGCATAGACTCAGGGTTTGTATTAAACTGCAGTATTGGTATACTTTTTTCAATTGTGAGCGCGCTATTTCCACGAAACCGGTCAAACTTTCCAGGTAGAATCTTTACCTTTTTTCCAATAAATATACAAGAAATTTTTGCTCTCCGGTGATTATTAAAAAATATACAGCTTTTTTATTTTGATAAAACTTGCTTCACGGAGCATGCTACATTTTGGCACGTTTACATCACAAAGACTCTTTATTAAAATTAAAAATTGCACAATTGTAGCGCAAAGAGATTTATGATATTTTACCTGCCGCTAAAGTATTATATCACTGGGAGAAATTTCGAACTGAATTGGATGGTATATGCCTGTTTTATAGCCGTTTATAAATGATCAACGCGTAAAAACACAGCCAAAAATCGGAGCGTCAATGAGCGTCATGGAACACTGCGCTACGTAAAAATTATGTAGGCAGACTGGAAAATGTCTAAAAAGAGATTAAAACAAACTGTGAAATACACCTACAAAGGAGAAGTTTTCAAATGGTTGTAGCTTCATAAGAATGGAAGGTTTGAAATTTTACCCCCGTATCGCATGGACATTGCGTTGCGCCTATATGGTTTTGCATAGTTTCCATACCTGATCGATTAACTGATTAACTGCATAAACTTTTTTTCATGTCCAATAATATCCGAATCAGTACAAAAGACATTGTAGAAGAAAAGTAACATGTCTTGATATAGATATTCAATTTAAAAGTAGAAAAAAGATCAGAAAAATCTAAAGATTTATAGAACTGCGACAAAGGTTAACGGGTTGAAATCTGGTCATTACATCTCCTTACGTCAAGTGATTGCTCCGTGAATCCCATAACCTCATAGTAAAAATCGTTGTAAATTTTCAAGATGTTATTATATGGACCTGATTTTTTACATACCAATAAACAAAATGTAGGAATTTATTCAGACATAGGTCATACTTCACAGTACACAATAGAAATTTCCGTAATTTAATGTGTCCGCGAACTTTTCTAACGACCCTCGTATTATTTATTGTATAAGAAATATACACCAAAAAAATGAATAACTCTACAACCCCCCTCATCCCCCCCTAAAAAATGTATTTACTACATAGCATGTTTCTTACAGTATGTAGTATCAATACATACGCAGCTTTTGTGTCTCTTTTCACTTCTCCTTTTTTTTCATTTTTACTCTGTGAATAAATGCTTAGGAAATGTCAGTCAGGTAATGTCAAGAGACACATAACCAAAAACTTATGCATACCTTAGCCTTATTTCTGTGAACTCTAAGATGAAATATTGCAGAGATATTGCAGGTACCCTATTTTGATGCATGACTTTAATTTATATTTCCCGTCAATTCACCTATATCGATACTCGGTCATTGCTCTTTTTATGAATAAAAACTTGCAGCTGTTCATTTAATTAAAAAATTAATATGGACCTCTTATGATATAAATAATATTAAAGTTGTTAATCTCAGCAGGTGTAAAAACATATTTTTAATTTAAAGAAAAAAATTCCTCTGTTATAAATGATCACAAAATTTTAATTAAAAATTTTTGAATGAACTTTTTCAGTTATCTTTTATGAAAACTGAAGTGTTTGACAGAGAATTTTAATATGTGGCAAAAAGAAAATCCCAATAACATTTATAAGATCTCTTTTTTAATCCCTATACATATTAATTATTTTGTTTTGAAATTGAATTTTTTATCGTGATGTTGCTATAGCTGTAGTTTTTTTTTACTCTGCTGCATATGTTCAATTTGAAAGTGATTCATTTTGATTTTATTTAATTTTAATTGAATTTTTAAGCCCTCCCGCCCTGTTTCCTCTCGACCCCTGTCTCGAGTCAGCACCGCCAGCTCTGGTCCCTCGGCAGAAGTACTGGACATCTTGGAAAAACTCGGAAAATTGAGCGAGAGTCATGATGCTCTTACCAAAAGGGTAGAAGCTCTAGAGGTGGGTATCAAGTTATAAAAGTTTTTTGATCGTAAAATCATTGTGCAAATTATTATTTTCGGGAATGAAAAGGAGTACAATATACCATTATTGTTTTTAAATTCTTAAAGGAGCTAGTGCATATGATACTGCTTTTAAATTTGAAGTAAAATTAATGTCATTTGACATGTCCTTGTTTTTTTTTCCAGGCTGAAATTAAGAACAAACTTGACAAAGATGCATTGGAAAACCTAAGTAAGAATTCAGTGAAACTGTGCAAGCATGAAAACTAGATTTTAAAAAAGAACAACCTCTTTTGAGCAGTAAAGCCTCCCAAACTCAAAAATTTGCAACACAATTTAGAAAAAAAAATTAATTTAAAAACTCTGGGATTGCAATATTTTGATAATACATGGATTACTTTCAGTATAGATTGATGATCCTTTTTTAAACATAATATTTCACAAACAATGTCCGATTTTAGATCTGTCTGGAGACCTACTGGAACAACTATCTAAACTGAAGGAAGACTTGGACGCCCTTGCCCAGGCTAGAGAAAAGGTATTTAATTCTTCGGTGTTGACCTTCCATATAATCAATTTGTAATCCTCTTTACTACGCAGAGTGAAATTAACCCAACTTTGTGCTTGTGATAGTGCAGAAATTTTTAATAATACGCTTACATTCTAGTCCATTCACCTACAATCATTAACTGGCTGGGTTTTAATCATATGGCTATGCATATAGTCCAGCAGGTGCCTTATACATATATACACTAGTATATGGCCAGTCACTTCTGGTTACCTTTTAAGCCTTTCGAGTTTTGATTGCATATTTTTTATAGTCATCAAAATTATATTGTAGTAATTGCTATAATTTATGCCAGCCAATATTGCTAACTTTATTTGTTTAACATTGCCAATTTAATTTGCTTATTTTGTATATGTAGAAATCATTTATCGATAATACTAATGTTCATCTATATACAATTAAGCCTCATTAATCTGGATGCTTGTAATTCTCAATTGTCCATGGTTTATATTAAAGAGGAATCTAAATTAGCGAAACATTATTTACATAATTGGTAATATTAATGAAAATTCTCTACCCCTTCTTCCCCCAAATGTCCAGAAAATAATCATTCAGATTTAATGAGGCTCTACTGTAATTTGCTAATTGTTGTCATTCTTCCGCTCTATCTTACATTTCTGTCTTTTCTCTTTGTCATTCTCTACCTCTTTCTGCTGTTGATTATAAAGAAATCACTTGCTGAGCTTGGGAAAAGAATGTCTGATGTCTCCTTCACAAAACTACATGCGCATGAATTACAAGACATTGCCATCGATGTCTTGACTCAAAAAGTTTCCAATCTGGAGGACAAACTCAAGATGTTCCAAGACTTGGTGATGGATGACAGTGCCTATCAGAGCCAGGTGTCTGATCTTACTAGCTGGCTGGAACAGCAGAAAAACCGCCCAGATCCTTTGGTCGATTTATACGGGTCATCCAGCAGTGCCCAGAACATTAGCAGTGAATCCAAGACGGATCAGAAAGATGGTACTAAGGTGGAGACAAAAGTTAGTAAAGCAGATACCAAAGCAAGCAAGGCTGATGATAAAGAGCAGAAGGTAGGCACCAGTGCTGGAGGAAAGCGTGGAAAGAGCGCTGAAAAAGAGAAGGCTAAGACAGATTCTGGGGAGGAGCAGAAGCCAGGGTCCCCCTCCAAGAAGGAACGGTCTGAAGAGAGCAAGGAGAGGAACTGTGAGTTTGAACAAGAGATCATGGCCATCTTTGAGGAAGAATACACAGAGATCGTGGCTGTCCGAGACACTCCAGATCGACCAATCTCCAGTGCCGAGCTACAAATGGCCAATAATAAAATGAAAAATTTAGCTTTTGTTCTGAATGACCAGCTAGTTTTGGTCAGGGACAAGATCTTCTGCTTGGATCATGAGTTGAAAAGAATGGCTAAAGGAGTTGAATTTGCTCTCATGAGAGCTAAAGTAGCAGGCATGAACGAATTGGTTAGTACACTTTTTCTTTCATAAAACTCAATTTTCTTTTAAATTAATGCAGGGTTATAATTGTTTTAAGGGCCATACAAAGAGTCATTTGGACGAGCAAGAGAGAATAGTGCATAATACTCGCATGTCGGTCATAGAGTCAAAATCGGATGGATATGTTGGCAAAATGCGTGAAATACCTACGGTTGCCACAAATTCAAAATCGGCGGTTGTCTTAGAATCAGAATCGCAGAATACATCTAGTATCAGCTTTCCTGAATTAGATAGCAGTGTAAGGTTTAAACAATCAAGTTAGCAGTTTATTTCTGTTTCACAACACTGAATGTGGCATACCATTTTCAACAGACATTAGATTTAAGTTAAGATTATGCATGAATTTTGCATGAGATCATGTTTCCATTGGCACGAATGTTACTCCTCGCTAGTTACAGTATCTTGCTTCAATCAATATTTCTTTATTTGTAGGTTTTAATTCATTTCCTGAACATTTCAATGATAACAATTTAAAATTCCCTTTACTTTTCATGGATGTTGGAAAAGAGGTGCTTAATATCATTTTAAGTTTCAAAAAAAAAAAAATCGATATTACAACACTTTAAAAGTTCATTTGTATTCAATTTTGTTCCCATTGTATCGTTCCTCCATTTATGTTGCCAAGAGAGGGGTGCATTAGACAGGGGAATTTAATTGCATTATATATGTATGACAGTGTTGTTGCTTTCAGTACAAATCCATGAAACGGCAAAAGATAAAAAGCCAGTTTTTGTAGGCGGTGTTTACCAAGCATATACAATGTCTAGGCTAGGGCCAACCCTGTATAAATATGTCTCTTTGTTTACTTTTAATAATGCACATATTCTTTGGTCTTAGTGATTGCTGATACCTGTTTTTCTTTGCTTTTTTTTTCACTTTTGAATGTGGCTATGCACCATAAGCTTGACACAGTATTAGTTTGTTCTGACAGAATAACTATACACTAACATGAATTAACAATTTTGATTTTACTTAAGCATTCTTTCATCACCCAAGTGTTTCAAATCAATCAATCTTTGTGTGCATGCCCTCCGTTGCCCAGCAAGTTTAAACAACAAAGAAACAAATATTAGTAATTGAACTTCAGTAACTTTCAAGTTGTTATTTTTCTTTATTAATTGGAAATGATACATTTGATTTTCTTTCTTTCTTTTTAATGAAGTTGAATAAATGATTAAAGTAATTTTCTTCAAATATTCATACATGTAATTGTAACTTAATACTCTTGGAAACAAGTTTATTGAAGTATGTGAATGTAATAGAATTAAGTGATACATGTATTAACTGCCAAATTTTAATTAATACATGGAAAAATGTAAAATATTTTTTTATTATTATAAAGTAAATTTAAAATTATAAACAAAATATTTAAATAAAAAAGAATACTATAAATAAAAAATGATCCATATAGATATTTTTGTTAACCCATTTATATTTGTGTCCATAGGACAGCGATGCCCTCAGCAGGGCTCAGCAGGCCATTTTACAGCTACAGGCTGAGGTGGAGAAACTTCACAGTACCACCAAGGATATCATTGAAGAAAACAATAACAGGACTCAGCAGATAGAGGTAGGACTGTAAAGAATTCAGTAGAGCATTGCAGCAAACTGTCTAGTGATAGATATTTACAGTAAAACATGGTTAGCGTGAACATGCTTATGATGTGTTTTTGCTTACAGCAGAGTGATTTTTCATTCCCTGCAAATTAAAAAAAATATGATGTTAAAATATATTGAGTAATGTCACGATCTAACTATATTGAAATTGGTTGTTTCTGGCACTTCATTACAAGGGTGTTTACTGTACTGTTGTGAGACCTGGTTATATAGAAAATGTTTGAAATAGATTTTGTTAAGCATCAGAATGGCAAATGAACAGACAATCTAAAATTATTCTTATGATTAAGAGGGTATAGTTAACAGTTAAAGCAAAGTTAATTAAGTAATATAGTTAGTGTCCAAGCTGCCCTTATGAATTTATTGTTTGTGAAATTTGTTACATCGCAAATTTATTTATTGTTAAGTTTCGCTGAATTATAGTTAGCATGTGGCAGATATACCCCGGTACATGTTGTCTGTTAACCTTGCAGACTGCTGCATGTATGAACTGAACTCTTTAAGATGTGTTTGCATGGTTTTCTCTTTGTAAGATTTATCAGAGAACACTGTACCGGTACTTCTTAAAAGCTATAGAACTATTGGTTGTAATTAAGATGACAAGAATTTTTCATTCATAAAATAGTTTTATGACAAGTCTGCATGAAATTTCTGTTCATAGTTTTATTTTCCTTGCAATATTTTTATAGATATTTTATGTCATCTGCTTATATGGAACAATTTGGTAAAATTGATTGGTTTGAAAGGATTCCATTGAGAATAACTGAACTGTGACCCATGGCACAAAAAACTTTGCAATATATATTAATGCTCTCTCTTCATATTTGAAAAGCAATATCAACAGGGCAATAAAATTTTGTGACAGCTATTGAACGGTCACTCATCGTGTAGACTAGGTAGGAATTCACAGGTGCTGTTCGCCATTATTGCTAAGCAGAAACTGATTATCAGCTTTCATAGAAAGGTCTACACTAATATAACTTCTGAAGGAAAAAAAATACCTGGGTTGTAGTTATTAAGTAGCAGGCATTGATCACAGCAGTGTCTTAAAAAGAGGCTTTGTGGCGTAACATTCTTGGCAAAGGGAGAGACTACATGCCAAGCTGATGACTGAATCTGGCAACATAATGCCACTTTACTAATGTTAAAGCATGTTGTTCACATTTTAAGATATATACACTCCACCCTGATCATGTTTATGAATTTTTGTCCCCCTCAAATATTCAATAGCCTTATTTTGGACCAAACCCCCAAAATAACGATAGATGGGAGAGTTTTGAACGGTTAGAAGATAAGCAGTAAGCCATTTAAAATTTTTAAATGGAGTAATTTAGATTTTCAATTAATGGTAATTGTTTGGTTGACTTTGCTTGTAGGTGATTAATGGATCTGTATGTGACATATTTCTGCCCACACATTTAAATGGCCCAGAAAAGTGACTGTTATTGACACTATGGATATTTGACCAGACCTGGACTTAAGTGGAGAGATTTGTGTAGTTACCTCACCAATTCCAGACATTTTTTTATATTTTTCCATTAGACCTTGCTTATATATATTTACCTAGACAATCAAAAGTCCACTTTGTTAAAATTCACACCCAAATAATCAATAAAAAAAGTAACACAGTTGAAGTCATCAAGGGACAAAATAAATCAGAATTGCTCTTTAAATTTGATAAGAAATAAATTTAGTTTGTATGAATCAATGCTCAAATCGCAAACAGCCTCGAGTCCATTTTTATACTGTAGCAATTATTCCAATTCGGTAGTTATTTGAATAACTAGTAAATCTTAATCTTTAAATCCTGTTACATATTACTTATTATATGTTCAGAAATTTCACTAATATGTGTATTTAAAAAATATTACCTTTGATCTCATGATTATTTGTCAATTATATAAATTAAATAACAGCTCCACAAATCTAATTTTGTGACAATAACTAACAGAGTGGGGAGTTCCTAAAAGCAAAGTGATAACGATACAACATGATTATGCTTATAGGAGGAATTATGATATAGCGAATCAGTCCTATTATAAAGGTTGCTATATAGTCATGTTTTACTGTATTTTACCATATTTTAATTCTTTGAAAAATACAATAATGAGTTTTACCAATATATGAATACCGTAATTTATACATTTTAATAACATGTATCTATCTTTTGTTTAGAGTCTCTTCCAGCACTGTGAAAAACTACAGGAAACCAAGGCAGACAAGGAATATGTGCAGATGGAGGTTGATGTTGTAAGTATATCCAGGGCAAAGGTCATTGAGGTCAACTAGGGGTCATATCTAGAAACACCAACAGGTCTTGAATTTTCATGATTATGGTAATATTTTTCTTCTTCCTTGATATTTCACAAATACCCTTTTAAGGGATTATCAAAGTGCAAATTACAGTAAAATTTCAATTTCCCCAAAAATTGGTATTTTCACTCATCTTTGTAACAGGCGTTATTTTATTCATTAAGATAATACTTGTTGATTGAAATTAATTACACATAATTTGATTGTACTGTAGAAAGCTGACAAGAGGTCCTTGGATAACAAAGTCAACCATAGCCTGTTTGATTCCACGACCAACGAGATCAACAAAATGATTAAAGATATCCTCGACAAGCTGGCAGGTCATGTAAGTGCATACCCGCGCAAATTAGATTTACTTACGTACTTATGGGGCAAATCACATCAATATTACGCAGAACTTTATAATCTGATGACATTGGATAAAATCAAATTCAACACACATCATTTGATATGGTGATAAATTAAAGCACAATATACTAAAGAGCAATGAGAAATATTTACAATCATTTGGTATCTTACTGATATATATTGAAAGTATTCATAGTTTTATAAAATCAAAAGGTTCAACAGAACTATTGAAAATGAAATTGTTTATTAAAGTAACTTTCATTTTTACAAAAATGAGTAATAGCGTCCTAAAATTGTTTAAACCCTTAGTCATTTAATGCAAAAGTCAGCCATTTTTTGCTACTTCCGGTTTGATGTGATTTACGTCTGTAGCTATCAGATAAATTAAATCACAATATACCTAAAGAGCCAATGATATGAAATATATTGATCAATGTTTTCAAATAAATCATCAATATTGTTATTGTGGGCAGGTTAAAAGTGAGTGAAGTTGAAATTACTGGGACTATATCATGGAAGAGTAGATATTTATTATTTGATAAGTTGTTGTTTTTTATAGTTCATAGTTTTATGGACCAAAGGATGCTTTGAGAATATTTTTTGAAAGTGAAATAAAAAGTTTGCTTAAGGGAGGTGTGTACTTTCCACAATAGTACAGAATAATAAAAACTCAGGTGTTGTGGCAATTAAATAACATGGTGGTATAGAGAGGAATTTGAGGAATATGATGCTTATTTTTTTAATCTTCAAAATACCCATTGTATGTGGGTCTGGTACATATATAAAAGAACCCAGTGCCACTTAAAAATTTACTCCCCCCCCCTCCCCCAAATTTAGTTAGCAATTTCCAAATGAAAAACTAAATTGGATTGTTCAATGATTCTTTTATTCCTTATCAAAACTCTGGATTTTCAGATAATGAGCTAGTTCATACAAGTGTGCATATAGCATATGCCTATCTTATTGTCTGATGAATAGTAAAGCAAACATGAAATCAGTATTTTCCCATTTTGCTTCTTTTCAATTTAAACTTCTTCAGGGCCCTGCGTCATCAAGAATTTAATTTAACTTTGATTTATTTTTAGGAGGAATCTTGGAATAGCACCATTAAGAAGTTTGCAGATGATATCGATGGCAAACTTGATAGACTAGAGTTAGATCCCCTGAAGGAATGGCTGGAGAGTAGGTTAAAGGCCCTTAATGACAAGCTACGTAGGCAGCAGGCACAAGTGGAATGGACTGAGGATGATGCTGCAGGCATTAGAAAGTATGCAGTTAGCATATTGTATACATGATGAATATACATAGTGCATACATGTTTAATATACATATTGTGTACATCTTGAATATACATATTTAAAACATCTTGAAACACAGCTATTTTATTCAACATTATGGCAACACTGATAATATTTATCGGGTGCATTTGAGGGAATTTCCTCATCAATTCTTCGTCCTATCAAATAAAGAGTTCATAGGTCAAGTAGATTCATATTGGTCTATTTCTGTAATGTTACTTTAAGGTAAATATGTATCATAAAGTAATAAAATTTTATAAATATGACAGAAATTACATCACAGGATGTACCGGTACTTGATATTGTCATAAATATTTCTTGGTATGACCTTATAATAAACTTTATGAAGCAACCATTTCAGTAATATATGCCACAAGCAAAGAAAATATTTACATACTAGCATATTTGACTATACACATAAAGTGGGTGTATACAGACATGTTTTATATGCTAACAGTATATAGTGTACTTTTCAAATAATTAAATTCTATCATTTCTCTGTCTCTCTCAAAGAGTGTATACTTTTAGCCATCTGTGAAATATTGATTTAAGAATGACAGAGCTGCAAATTTAAAACTGGTGGAAATAAAATAAAAATTTACATTGTCATGCTTTTATATTTGTTTAAACTGCAAATGAGATCTGCAATGTATTTGATACTACAGTTAAAAATTATGCACTGCATACATATCTTGACTTTTTAAACGCTTGAATAGTGTCAGTTTTGGTGGCCACTTTGAATTTAAATCCACAGAAATCTTAAGACCATTTTTTCTTGTCATTTCAGGCAATTAATTCAGCGATTCCACTGCATTAGCTGTGACCGTCCAGTAGATCTAGTGCCAACAGGGTTAGTATTTAATGTCTGTATTAACACCCCTGTTTTAATTTAACGAAGCATGCCAATTAATTGTAGTTTAATTTTTATCGTAGACACCTGTGCATGTACAGGAAATATATCAGCAGTGCTTTCCTGGCCGTTTTTCTGTACAATTCTAAATATATATTCATCAAAATTTAATTTTTTGATTAGGGATTGTGTACATTGAAATAAAATGAGGATGATTTCACTGATGAATGCTAGCTAAGTGTTTAATTCTATTTCTGTTAGATCAGCAAGTCTTGATGAATTTGTTCAAACTAACTCAAATTTCCATATTAGAGTTGAATATGCAAAAAAAAAAACAGTATTCTTTATTGTTAAAGATCAATTTAGTAGAATGATTTGCATGTATCATATTGAATTTGAATGAAAGAACAACAGTTCAAGTATCAATTTTAAGTAGATAATTTCTTTACTGAATCAATTTACTCTGAACTGCAAATACCGTACATAAAACTTCTTAGACACTTGCCCAGAATGTTACATCAGCTGTATAAATTCAAATTAGTCAAGTTGTAGATCATTTCATAATAAGATATCTATTAGTACAGTTATATGATCAATATTTACCCTTCAGAGCAATTAAGTTATGAAAGTCCCATTCCATTTGATTAATTAATTTGCCAATAATTTGATTGAATGCCTACCGGTAATGATCAAAGTTAAAATGTTGCAATTAATAATTTATCAATTCGGTGCACAAGGCTTTTTGTCCAATTAGGAACTCCCTATAATAGTCACAAAGTCATGTAAAGTGAAATTTAGCCTTTAAAATTAATTTATGCACTTCCTTAATTAGTAATAAAGCATAAAATATACTTTGGAACATTGTGAAACATCGAAGTAAATCGATTATTGTCCTTGCTGGCTATAGTCTCTTTGATTTCTACTTTACCAATTGATTTGTACAATCGATAAGATATTCCGTTTCATGTTCATATTTTTTCTTTAACTTTGATAACTTTACTGGTGAATAATACATATAATTTGCTAATTTTAGCAAGTTGCATTTAAAAAAAAATGCAATATATTTCCTTGATTATTTTGATAGCAAAAATCAAAGAAAGGCCTAGAAAATTATGGCTGGTTTTAATCGACTAACAGAAGAGATTAAATTTACAATTGTAAATTGACTAATAATTATAAATAATTTTAGCAATACTGAGGAAGACCAAATTGTAAAATTCCCCACCGTAAGACTATCAGAAAGCAGGTAAAATGTTGGTAGACAAGGAATGGGTTGACAGTACAATAGATTTCAGTATTTTAAGTGTACATGTAGTTGGTGCTGTGAGTATAATGAAGTATACAGTTGAACTCTTTGGTATCTCAAACTTTGTGTGTTGAATACATGTACCATATTAGATATATCAAAGTGATTTGAAAGTATCAACGACCTATTTTTTAAAATATTGTATCTTTGCTATGTTGAATTCTTACAAATTTTGAAGAAATATTATTTTCTTGGTCTCATGGAGTTTGAGATAACTTGGTTCGACTGTAGTTTAATTAGAAAGAAAAGGAAGTAGCCAGATTTTTAAAAAAAATTAATGTTTTTTTTTTCTTTATCCTTAAAAATATTTAAGGACACGCAAGTGTACAAGCTAGTTGATAACATGTACATGTATATTAAAATGTAGCTATTTGGTTAATCAGTAGAAGACGTACATTTCAAAATGTAGATTTGATTGATCAGACAATTGTAATGATCACCATAATATTAATCTGGAAAGAGAAAAATCAGAAGATTAAGAAAGTTAAAGAGTGTACACGCAACGTACAGTTAAATAAACAAAATCGGCAAATAGTTTTATTGAAGTGTTAAATAGAATTATAGTTCTGGACACAAAAAAGCATTAATTGCCATATCGACAGTAAAATCATGCATATAAGATACCATTTAAACCTTTTCTGTCTATTTTTTTTTCAGTCCCGTGCCTTCCCTCCCCACCACCAATGGCCTGCCCCCCACCAGGTCCCCGCGCCCCTACACCACTTTTGAGTTGGACCAGATCAGACAACATGCAAAGAGGTATTTATTGTTTACAATAACGCAGTATTCTAAATGTTACATGTAAGCAGGTTGTGGAAAAAGCATTATTGTGGAGAAATTAACCTATCGCTTTGCTTCTTGTATAAAACAAATGTGTTCTGCAGTATTTAGATTAATTAAATTAGATCTTTTTGATAATAGTTTATCGGTTCTTATGGATATTATATGTTGTTTAAGTATTATGAGTAAAATTAGCATTTTACTTTTTAAACAGATTTTTGTTTATGGCTTTTTATGATCAGATAATTTGCACTTTTTGTTAAAAGTGGTAGTTTAGAGGAATAAGTACAATTTTTCAGTTATTTTGGCGCACTAGAGGTTTAAAAGTAAAATTGATTAATAAATTCAGAAATAAAGCTTTTGTAGATTTTTTTTTTTAGTTTTGCTTCAAAGCTTAACAAAAGAGGGAAGAAATATCTCCAATACTCTGTGTTACTTAATACAAGAGATTGAAATGTTAAACAGAATGTAATATTTTGAAAACAGAATGTATGTGGGAATAGACAAGCCAAGTGTTCGGTAATTACGTTTTCATTTTAGACCAGCCTGCAACTAACGTCACCCAACATTTGTTGTGTCCCCCCTTCCCTGTTTGTCTCTATTGTAACCTTTCCAGTCTTTTCAACCCTTTTCCTTTCCTCTACCCTGCTTGCTAATTGAAATATACCCATGCAATAATGTTAATGTTTTATTTCGTTTTTTCAATATTGACTTTGTTTGGAAAGTAGGGTGCGCTGAAATGGAACGGTTTCAGTGTCGGCAGGCTGTTAGAATTTGTCAAAAAGGCAATAAGTTCAATGTTCTATTATTTCATAGAGTCTGCTCAATAAATTTTAATTATATCCCATGGAGACTTTTAGTGGTGCTTTTCAAAACAAGTTTATTTTGGAGACTTAATTGTCGCACTTAGGTGAAAATATGTGATTTGAAACAAAAATATTTGTCAATGAGTGGACAATAGAAAAAAAAAAAAAACATTAAAAGCATGCATGTGGCTGAATTTATGTATCGATGTTAATTGATTCACTCATGGAATGAATTCAATCATTTTATCATATCTTTAACCCTTTCTCTTATCAAATTTCAATGATACGGTAATTAAGATATATTCATTTTATTTTCATAACTTAGGGGAGAGTTTGGGAATTTTTTTTTTGGCAAAATGTAGAATATTTCTGAAAAAAAATTTTGCTAAATTAATTTCAAAGTATTTATGATAAGAGAAAAGGTTAAAACTTCATTGATTGTTTAGATACCATGCACTCATCATTTCTTCTAATTCTTCACTCTCTAACTTTTTTCCTTCATCACTAACCAAGGGGACCCAGAAACAACATAAATTTTGAGCGAGCATTAGCTGAAAAACAGTTGGCTCGCATGCGCAAAGCTGATTTGAAAGCTTTTCTTGTTCACTTTGGCCGTGACCTTGAGGCGTATCGAGAACAGAGAGAGGAAGCAGCTCGCGCTGCGTAAGTCCATCATCAGTTCCGAAAATTTTTTATTTTTGTTTGGGAAATATATATGCATGAAAATTTCATCTATAGATTTATTTTTACTTGAAATAATTTTTTTATTTGGATTCTGAAAAATATATTTCTCTTTTGATTGTTGGCTGGTGCTTTTACATGTATTTTGTATTTTATTAGTATAATCTTATTGTTAGATGTACAGTTGTAGAATATAACAATTAACAATGTCTTCTGCAATCATTTATTATTGATGATTTAGAAAAAAAAAATGTATTTATATAGCAATAACAATTGAAATGCACTTTTAAAAAAGTGTTCATGACCATACATCCTGCCTTTTGTTTAAAAAAAGTTTTTATGACCATCCTAGCTACCTTGCTCATTGTACCTGATGTATTTATATTTATCAACCTACTAATATATTAAAGTACATTTCACATATTCAGACCTCTGAACATTTCGTTTGAAGTTTTCTCCCAGTGACAATGCTAAGCCGTCAGTATAATCCCTGAACAGTTTCACAAGTCGACAGAATCACACATTTTAAATCAAGCAGATCAATACATTATGTCATTCTTCATATTTACTTGTGGCACCAGGAATCAGATACAGTGTTGGAATATATTTAAATCCTGCTATATAGATTTCCTTTACAATTATGGGACTGCTCTTTGATAAGCATGGGGGGAATAAAGTATTCATTGTCACATTCAGACATTGATTTGTATCTATATATATACAGATTAATTTGCACAGAAGTTTATTTTTTGCATGTTCACCAATCAGTTTGAAGAGTTTTGCACATTTGAGCATGGATTCACACCTCATGGCTTAATTGAAATGTATTTTACATTCATATACATTGTACTGTATACATGTACTAATCAACAACTGCATGTTTTACACACATCCTCGACCATTTCCAGTAGCATTTAGTACAAAATTAAAAATACATGTACATGTATGCTTAGAAATAGAGGTTAAATTTAATAAGTGCAGGCAGTTGGAATGCCTTATAAGCTTCTGAAAGGTGTTTTAGATTTGTTTATATTAAGGCTTAACAAATCAATGGATTGCAGTTTATATTTTAAAGCTTCTCCATTATGCACCATGTTTTTTATTTGATGGCAACAAATATTTGTAGTCCAGATTATTTTGATTTATACTAGTAAAGACATGCATACACATTAGTCTTTTTGAGAAATGTGTTATAATTCATAGAAGGTAATCATGCAAAAGTAACTCAGATTTGTAACATTTCATAATATTGAGAATTTATACACATTTCTAGAAATTAAAATTCTCTATTAGAAAAATAATAACAGAATTTGTTGTTGTTGGACAGTTTTGCTGGAAACAGTGGTGAGGTGACGGACTATTATGCCACCACGCGAGCTTGTGGAGGAAGTCACACCACAACCTTCCCCAACAAGAGGATCACACGCCTCTCTCACCTCAGGTAAGTATAAAACACCAGGTGTATTGTCTATTTATAGAAACTATATGTCTATACAAATGGTTTATTAATTCCTTGTATTGACCATGCAGTTTTAAATCTATATAAATTGGGAAGGTCAATAATCTACCGGGGTACATGCAGTCATAATTGTGATAAAGCATATTTTTTAAGTGACACAAAAAATACTCTATGTGCATGAAAATAGAATCCCTGACTTTGCGGGCAGTTTTAATGCTTAATTTACAGCTGATGGAATCTTCTTAAATAGTTCATTACATGTACACTTATTTCAGCCACCTATTCAGGGAGGAGGATGGCAATGTTTTCCCCATCTACAAGTAAGTGATGCATCAAAGAAAGATTTACTCTATGAAGAAATTCAAGCAATGCCTTAATCTTATGATAAATATGGAAACTGAAATTGCTTTTTAATGACAGCTATCTGATATTTCAGAGAGGAGGTAGATGTTCAGGGAGCAGATGGTCACATCTACAAAGGAAGAATGGGGGCTAAACTAGAGGCTAGACTGCCCTCTGTCACTCAGGTACAAACCAGGGGGAGATTACTCCGGGCAATCATTTTACTCTTGTTCAGTTGATATCCATATCATCTGCTTTGGAATTTTGTCTGCTTTGCGATTTTGAAGTTGATAAGTTTTGTGGCTTAATTTTCACTCAAAGGATATTCTTATTGAATTTAAATACCAGTATGCTTATGTCAATTGAAAAAGAATTTAAATTTAAAAATTTTAAATGAAACTTTTCAATAAAACTTTTACTAAATTGCAGAAGAGATTCACATAGAGAAATTTTGTCAATGATAGTATAATTTTGCACGGTATCCACATGGTGTCCATACAAAAAAAATTCAGTATTGCCTCTTTGATTCTCAGTAATGAAAAACAGAACTATATAGCGTAAGATTTTCAGAGTGACGTGATAAACTTCATGTAAAGTAGAATATATTATCTTGTATTCAGACTCGTCATGTTAGATGGGGAAGCGCAATTGAACGTGGACAGGTACACAGTGTAAATAGGATAAGATCACATCACATGATACTTGTATATGTATCAAAATATCTGTGAATATTTGAATGAAAAGTTAGCATGAAGAGTATTATTAGATAGCCATAGTTTTATTTTGGACCATATTACATGTACTTCATACATATATTTTGGTAGTAGCAACTAGAACTTGTGTATTCAAAGTATCTTTTACCAAAAATTTTGATAGAACCAGCATGCAAATATTTTTTAAAGAATACCAGAATTTTGCACATTTCAACATCATTTTATTATTTAAAATCACAGTACTAAATTAAATGATTATAAAACACAAGATGGAGAATATCTTCACTTGAATACAAACTCTGATGATTTCTAAAGAAATCATCATAAAATTTATGTTGAAAATTTCATAAAATCTTTCATATGAAGCTGATGACTGAATTCTTGATTTATGTATCTATTGGCTGTTTGTTCCATAGGAATATGGGTATAAAGATATGCCTCAGGCCTATTTGATGGTAGGTTGCACATGATCAACATGTACCCATGCAATACAAGTGTATTAAAATCTAGTGTGTGTGTACACTGAGTGAACTTTCCATCTCTCTCATTCATTCAGGAAGCTTCAACTCTTCATCCATGCTCCTCAAACTCAGCTAGATTAAACAGAAGGATTAGTTAGCTTGTAAAATGAGTGCATATATTTTTAAATATATTTATTGAACAAGTTGGAATTTTTTTACGTAACTTGCAATATTGCATGGACAGGTGATGGAGAATTATTGTTATGTAGGCCAGTATGTATATCTACATATAATCAATAGTAGCATTGTGTAATAATAATGTAATAATAACAAAATGGTAGAGAATATGTATCAGAATTATATCCATACTAAATACAGTATCATTAAGAATTGGAAAGGGGTAATTTACTCATGGTAAAGGAAAGCTTTTACTAATACATGTATGAGATATAATGACGTTCTTGAAGAGAAAAGTTAGTTTGACACATGAAAATTAATTCACAATTTATAGTTTTCACATTCATATGTAATACATGAATGTTTTTGTTTTTTTTCACGATTTTCCACAATTATTTAAGCCATATGATATAAGACTGTAAAATGTTAATTCATGAAAGACATGTTCTGCCACTATACAAATGAACTTTTCATGAAAATTAATTCACAATTTCTTAAATCCCGTTTGGAGTAATATATAGGAAAAATCTTTAAAAACAAGAACCATTTTCATCCTTGGGTAATTTCATATCTTGGGCAGGGCCACCATTTTCCATAAAAAAATGATTAAACCTTGTAATACATGAATGTTCTTGTTTTTTTCTCCCGATTTTCCACAATTATTTAAGCCATATGATAAATGTATTGTTTTTTGATCAAATAAATTTTCTCCACCTTTATTTCAGGTAGCTATTGTTTTTACTAATTATAAGAACCTATATTTTATAATATCTTGTTTTGATAAACCCTCACTAAAAAATCTGTCTCTGATCTTTTCAGGATCGATCCCGCTCTCCCATTCCAGTGCCTGTTTCCCATAGGAAGACCACTGTTTCCCCACCCCCAGGGCATAGGGTCATGCACACACCACAGAGACCCACATCTGCCCGGGCCTCTCCCAGGCGATCGACCAGTCGCTGTGATTCCCGCCCCCAGTCAGCTCACCCCCAGAACACCAGGGGGGACAATGCGGAGGAATCCTCCCACACCACCCCCGCCCCTGACGAGTCGGCACAACCCACTGACGCCATCGAAGTCCCAGTCCAAGGAGATGCATAGATTCCCAACCTATATCTATAGATAGCAGTGTTACATTATTTTTTGTTAGAAGTTTTCCTCCTCTCTTTTGTGTATCGTAAAATACTTTTTTCCAAATGATAAGTTTATTTTTTTATTTTCGTGTGACCAAAAAAATAAACTTCTGTTATATTGGAAAACAGCTACAGCAAATGAAATTCAAAGAACCAAAGCCACATTTCTAGAATTTAAGTACAGTTCACCATAAGGCACAAAACAGAGGGCAAGGCATAGTGGCATTTTGTAAGAGTCTATTCATATATTTTGTGTATTTGTATGCACCCCTTTCACTATGTGCAATTTGTAAATATTCTAGCCATGTTAATTTATTACTGGTATGTGACAGCATTTGAAATTTTATTTTGTTCCCTCAGTGTAGAAAAAGATTTGTGATAGCAGTTTTTGTGCAGGGTTGAATTCTGCAATAGAATGACTTTCTATATACATGTATTATATTTGATGTTCACAATATAGAACACTTGTAACTGCACATCTGAACTGTGTAGTATAGAGCATGACATTATGTTAAAAATTCTTAGTGATTTAGTTTTTATGTTTGATTTCTCTGTTGTTGAATGCAATACATGTGTTGTTTTCCTATAGTGATGATCCAGTCATATTTTATTTTTAGTCCACAAAAATGATTTGAACTAAAAATAGATTGAGAAAAAGCCTGTGATATTGTTGTTTTTATATATACACTTAGTTAGATGTTTTTGGAAATATTCCCTATACACTGTTTTTATTTAAATCCATTGTTTTAGTTGAAAATTTGTAATAATAAAGAATTCCATTTTTTTTTTCTTTGGGGGGAACATGTTATCTTTTTCCGCTCAATATTTCATTGGTGCTGTAGAGTTAAAATTTTAAAAATTCCTGTAAATATACATATATGTGATACAGTTTTTCCAATTGCTGTATACAAATTTGGCATGCTCAAACTTTATTTTTCTGTATATTAAGTACCAATATAATATTTCTAAAAACCATATACATTTATCTATTTTAAAAAATTGTATTTAAATTTATTTATTACATTTTTATGCTGGGCATTTGAAAATGTATCACTTTACCAAATTTTGTCAAATGAATGTGTGGAATATAAAAACTGTCCTTATATTTTGTTTTAGAGTCAGGTAATTCCTTTACGAATCAGGATAATTAATTAATCAAAATTAAAATTTTGTTGTATAAATCAAATTACTTAATATGCACCTAGGAGAGTGGCTCTCGATGATTCCGTCCAACGTAGACTCAAAATGTGCACAAGCAGTATTGACCAGTATTTATACATCTTCATTCTTTGTTGATCTATATTCTGCTAATAAAGAAAATATTTCTTATAATTAGCTATCTTTTATTTTCATTATCAAGCAAAATTAAATGTTTTTGTTGGTTAACATCCCTCTAAAGAATTTTTCACTCTTATGGAGACGCAACCATTGCTGGTAGAAATTATGTCCTATACTTGGCATTCAGGGCCATTCAGCAGGGAGGGATCTTTTTCATGCCAACACCTTCTGTAACACAGGACCACTTGCCAGTCCCACAGTGGGAGATTAAGGATGTCCCAACTCTATCCAACCACTGCTTGGCACTCTTAAATAAGCAATGCCATTGAACAGCAAAAAACAATTTTTGAAAGAATGGATGGACTTAATGCCCTATTTTGGACCTTTTGCGACTCCTCTGTCAAGCTGTAAATGAAAAGCGGGCAATGGAAAACACATATACTTGGTTATATTTGGTAAAACATTTGTGCAAAAACAATGACTTGTTGACCTTGGTTTCGACATGCGGAGTGACTTTTATTCTTAGAAGGCGGGGCTATCGATTAGCGTCATTGTTGACATCTCTCTCTCTATCCCTCTCTCTTTCCAAAAATTTGAATACGTATTTAGCATATTACAGTGATGTCAATATGAAATTGTAATTAAAATGTGATGACATGCAAAATTAAAACGATATTTCTTAATCTGCTAAATTCGGAAAGCGGCAACAAATCACTCTCAGAGACGTGATTTAGATTGAGGTCAGGTTGAAGAATACAATGTAACTGTTTTCATGAGTACACTTGCAGGTGGACATCACTTGATGAATTGTAAGAGACATGACAATGGAGGCAAACCACATGTTTTTTGCACCATATAACAGTTCAATATACCACCAAAATCAATCATACGATTTTCCCTTAAATATTGCAGCATGCGATATTTATAGAATGAGTTGGCGTAAAGATATATAAATATATACATCGGGGGAGAAAAAAAACAACATTTTATGAAACTTAAATTTACGGCAATTTTTGAAGTTTCTGGCAAGATCTGATGATTCAAAGAGTTATTCCCCTTTTGCTGCTAACAACCAATGTGTAATGCATTCTCCTATAAAGCTGGATTTGCACTAAATTCTCTCTCTGTAGACTGTACTTTTCTTCAAAACCTTGATGCAATTCTTGATACCATTGTGTATTCATTACTTACCTGCATATGGTACTTGTCAACTAGAAAACCTCCCCCTTCCTTCATCTTGCCCCACATACTTGGCAATGGTGCATCAAAGTTATGCACAAGGAGAGATTAGTAATGTTGGTGACACTTTTTTTTTATTACTTTTAAGAATTGATCTTTGGCTGTATATATATATATATTCATTTTTAATTTCGAATATTGGGTATTGACAGATGTTAGGAAATTCGAACTAAAATGTACAATCTCGAAACTCGACGGCTGTTTCTGACATTTCAGAACTTTATAACGGAACATGATATAGATTGTATTCAAATATAAGTAGGTAAAACATCGGATAAAGGATTTTTTTTATCCGTGTCGTTTGTACTAAATATCTTTTCCTATTTTTCATATTCCAATTTTAATTGGCAAATAGCGTTTCTGTGCACAGACTGGTCTAAATTCTACAGAGCAGGTATCTTGGACGACATATTGCTTAAAATACAATAGGCCTATAGCCGTCGAGATTAAAAGCAAATATTTTTTGAAGTCATGTTTTATTTGTCTACTCAGTATCTCAATTGGTGTATACAAGGCGGCTACATGAAAGTGTTTGACGCGTGACCAGGCAAAGGTTATGCAAATCAAGTTTTTTTAATGAGAGATTAGATCTTAATGTTGGTTTATTTTAAGCCCATGACTGTCATCAGTTGGCATACATGATACTAATTGCAATTTTCTACTCACAGAAATATCCTACCGACAAATCACAAAATCATGTTGATTGAAAGATGTTGGAAATCTAATGATAAAGTACAATTCTAGGCAAAGAAACATCATTAAAAAAAAGAAAAAGTTCATTTTCAAATTTTTATTTTTCTTAAATATCTAAAATAATTGCATGAAAGTATGTTATAAATTGTATTTTTGTTAAGCAGAAAAAAAATTATACAGTTTTAATATAAATACATCACAATGTGCTACATGAAAGACAATGGGTATTAAAAATAAAATTATTATCAGTCTGGGAGATATCACAGTCATGTCTGGACATGAGACATATATAGTCTAGGTGTTGAGCTTCATGTGCAACAGTTACCGCATATGCTTTTAAAAATTATAGCAATATTATAGTGCATGTACACTGATGGCAAAAGCAGACATATACCGTATATTTAAAATTGAAAATAATAATTTAATAAAGAAATCAGATGTAGTGAATTGTTCTCCAAATTTCATGATATTGATCTATCAAATTTTTATTATGTCATAGCTAGAAATAAAATCAGTAATATTTAAAAACATGTTTTTGTCCTGGCAGTGACTAGCACATTACAGTTTCCACAAACAGTACATATTTAGCCAAAACAATTCACATTCAAATCCCAACTTATAAACTTATAGTTCCAGAATTGTTTTCAATTGGTTCAAGCACTTAATTCTTTCAGTACTATTCATTTATTTTCACTTCATCACATAACGGTATTAGTCTTTTTCAGTGGTGTCAGCCTCACAGGTTTCCGATGGCTCCCGGCAGTCTGGGATTTGATTGGGATTTTATCCTTACTCCTCTCCCCTGCCTGGTCCTCGGTAGGGGGCGTGTCGGGACTGCCGTAGGAGAAGTCCATGTTCTTCAGGGTGTCAGAGGTCATGTTCTCTGGGTTATACCCCTTGTTTAACATCCTCTGACTCATTGGAAGAATTGTAGGAATTTGTATCTCCTCTACATCCTGTAATATTGTTTTGAGATTCAAAAGAAAGTCGGACTTTTTGCAAAATACAGCTGCAGAACTGTAGTCCCTTCCCCCCAAAAAATTGACAAACCAGACTGTCAATGTACTGTATATTTTTCTGTAACTATAGTGTATATCAATTTAAATAATTGCATTACTTGTTTTATAATTAAACTTCATTGTAAGCATGAATTGAGTTTATGCCTGTTGTCTTGTAATTAACTTTTTAATATACATTCATAATTACTGCTCTTTCATATGGAGTTTTCAAAAGTAAAATTAGTATGCAGACCTTTGTATTTAAAGCCCTGTATGGTGAACAGATCTTGCCAAACTTGTGAATATCTTTGAAGTTGACGTCTTTACTGAGTCGGTTCCTTCTGTCTATCCTCGATTCTTTGATGGTCTGTAGCTGCTGAGCAACTTTAGCACCAAGGAATGTCTGCAAAATTCATGACACTTGAATATTTTTTTTTTCATCACATATATTCTCATACAGCTTACTTTTCTATTGATGGAAATAGGGTTTCTTATCTGAGGGAATTTTTATCATTGCATCAGTTTACATTTATTACTGTGAATCACTTTTCATTTGCAAGGAATGTATTTTTTTTTCGTAATTATAGGCAAGCTTCTTATGAAAATGTCATTTTCATCTTTAATTCTATTTATTCTCTACGATAATATAAAACAATAATTTGACAATTTGTGGAAATTTATAAAAATGGTCAATATTTGACATATAATAAATAAATAAAAATAATTCCAATTTGAAAGATGCCCCTGCAGTCAATACCTGTGATCTTTCCACCCTTGGAGGGCCTGTGGCAAATGACTGAGACCGTATACCCAGATTAAAATCAGAGTCTACACTATCTTCTCCTTCACCATTCAATTCCTCCCCCTCCTGTAACAGTAACCAATCACACAATGCCATCACCCAAACAAACTGTGCATGTTATTTGTTCACGTGTTATTTTCAGATTAAATGAATTAAAAAATTCCTCTGAAAATCTACTGGCTTTTGGGCTTTAACTTATGCATATTAATTAAGTCTTTTGTAAAACTTCACAGTTTTCTTTTTTCTCCACTTGACTCAAAGAGCAATAATATGTAGACAACTTTTTTGTAATCATCAAAAAAAAAAACTTGATCTCTTCTCAAGAAAACTTGTAGGGATTACCTTTTAAACATAAAAAGTTAATGCACAAGTGACTCAGTAGATTTTAATATTTTCTGGAGCATTTTTTTCTTAAAATAATTTCTAACATATCATTATAAATGGTGAACATAGTATGAAACCAACACCATTTTCAATCCAATGAAATAAAACTGATAAAATTACATACCCTACAAATGTAAAATACTTTAAACTAATAACACCAAGTGTTTTTAGCTATATCTCTTTATGAAATGCTACAACAATACCTGAAGTTGCTTTGCCCTTTCCCTGCTGGGTCTCTCAATCTCTCCATTTTCCGTCGTTTCCCTGGAGACACCATTAGCTACTGGAGTTACCTCCTCTTTTTCCACTTCACCGTTGTTCAGAGTTTTCATACTGGACACAGAGTCAGTCTTGCTATGTTTTCTGCTCTTCTTGCTATCTGCTGCTTGCAAAATAATATTTCTTACTTTAATGTGTAATGATACTCCATACTTTTATACATTTTCATGATATAAAAATTTACAGATTTAATACCATCATAGTGAACCAATTTTAGAGTAATTATTTTTTATTTAATAGCTCTTTCTTAAAACAAATGGATCAAAATCTATCCTTGAGTAATCGTATCTTTTTTTTGGACAAAGGGAGAGAAAATAAATCCACACCCAGGCTTTCATATATAGAGATTTGCTATGACCACGACCTCTGACCTGAAAACATGGTTCAAGGTCATTGCACACCTTTATCAATGGGCTCTCTATGATCAGATTTGGCCAAGTAAAAAGAACATGTTCTTTGAACAAGGACATAAAAAAATATATACTTTGACCTTGACCTTTGGTCTTAAAACAATAAAAGTGTTTCATGCTGAGTCTTGTATCTTCAAACGTCAAATTTACCTTAACCCAAAGGAAGTCATATTAAATTCCAGAAAGACAGATGACCTTCATTTTGACTCAAACCTTTGACTTAATATCTATTCTGTGTGAAATTCTCCA